CACTTGAACGAACGGTATATGGTCAAATGGAAGCTGGCCATCTTCCCACCAAACCTTGTGATTGGCACTTGTGAGATCTAACATTTTTTCGATTAAAAATAGAATAAGTGATTTCATTTAGTTCAAATTGAACCATTATATTCAACATTACTGTGTGATTTACGTGGTTGTATGGACATTATTATAGTACTTCTTATATTAAAGAATATGACAACATTCAGGTTTCATATAACAATTTGATCTGGACAACAGAAATAAGGAAAGATATAGATTAGTTATATTTTGAGAAAAAAAATACAAACCTGTGTTCCCAAATCCTTTTTTTTGCTTTATTTCCCCAAAAATTAGTTGTGCTTGCCAACTCGTACTCTCTAAGGAGATTTTCTGCTTCCTCTACATTTTGCACAAGTCCAGAGCGTTCAGACAGTTTGATTTTAAATAAAGAAGTCGCTGCTGAAATGTCAATACTTTCCATATGTATAAAAATATGTGCTTGTTCTTATAAGAACAGTTTACCAGCGAAAACATAAACAGAAATTTAACTTCGTTTGTATTGTGTGGTGATGTACAATATGCGGAGACTGTTTACTATTTTAAATTATTTCCATTTTCCCGCGATAAGTTTTAAATTGCCGCGAATTAAGGCTTTACACGCAAAATTATCACGCAGAATCCACGCAATACGAAAAATAAGCGTCGGGTGTCGGAAATCATCTTCGTAAGAAGTTTCCGAATGCGCCTACTTTTGCTAGATGTCCGAGTGTGACTTCCCGTTTCAACTATCGGCAATTTCTTTACAATGGCGTTTCTCTCAGACATTTTCATCACACCTAAAGCCAGTGTCACGGTAACCACGATTGGAAGGCTTTCTGGAATAGCAGCAACAGCTAAACTGCACGGTCATATAGTGACGTCATTAGACTGCATGTTCATCACGTGATTAACTGTATCGACTTCTGCTTTACCTTACTCCTATTGTAAACATCTCCAAAATCTTTCGATTTGTAGCCAGCCAAGAAGGATTATCAATGCTAAAGTTTAAATGAAAGTTCACATAAAAAAGGAGAGCAGTATTTACTATCATAAATAGATATGTCGGTGTACTTTTATTGATAGAGAAATAGACGGGGGGTTATTAAAACGGCAAAAATTGGACAGGGGGTTCCATCAACTTAGAAAATATTTTTCGAGGGAGAATGTCGATAAAAACTATATTTTTCATATTTTTTTGTGTCAGAGGTTGAAAACGAGAATCCTGTACCAAATATCAAGCAAAAAAATCATACAATAATTTCAAATATAATAAGTTCTCTGTGGTACGTTTACCAATAATATATAAATAATAAAATGACAACTGTTTGCCCAAGAAATCCATTGTTTTCTGAAGAGGAGTTTTTGGCGGCTAAAACGTGAAGATAAAAACTTTGTAGAGAGGAAAATAAAGTCTAAAGATACGTTCGCAAAAACACTATAATTTATGCATTTGAACACATTTTCCCAACCAAAAAATTTTTTACAAAAATAGGAAATCCACCCCCCCGGAAAACGAATTTTATCATATTTAAAAATTTTTATCAAAAAACTACTATTCATGCATTTGAAGACATCTTCCAAACCAAAAAGAACTTTTACAAAAATAGTAATTCCACCCCCCTTGAAAATGAAATTTATCGTATTTCAAAATTTTCATCAAAACACTATAATTTATGCATTTGAACACATTTTCCACATCAAAAAAACTTTTACAAAAAAATCGTGTCCACCCCACCTGGAAATGAAATTTTTATATTTTCATCAAAAGACTACAATTCATGCATTTAAAAACATTTTCCACATGAAAAAGAACTTTCACAAAAATAAGGATTCCACCCCCCCTGAAAATGAAAATTATCATATTTCAAAATTTTCATTAAAACACTATAATTTATGCATTTGAACACATTTTCCAAACCAAAAAGAACTTTTACAAAAATAGGAATTCCACCCCTGAAAACGAATTTTATCATATTTAAAAATTTTCATTAAAACACTATAATTTATGCATTTGAACACATTTTCCAAAACAAAAAGCACTTTTACAAAAATAAGAATTCCCCACCTGAAAAAGAATTTTACCATATTTCAAAATTTTCATTAAAAGAATACAAATCATACATTTGAACACATTTTCCACAACAAAAAGAAACTTTTATGAAAATAGTAATTCCACCCACATGAAAATGAATTTTGTCATATTTCAAAATTTTCATCAAAAGACTATAATTTATGCAATTGAACACATTTTCCACATCAAAAAACTTTTACAAAAATAGTAATTCTCCCCCCTTGAAAATGCAATTTATAGTATTTCAAAATTTTCATCAAAACACTATAATTTATGCATTTGAACACATTTTCCACATCAAAAAAACTTTTACAAAAAAATCGTGTCCACCCCACCTGGAAATGAAATTTTTATATTTTCATCAAAAGACTACAATTCATGCATTTAAAGACATTTTCCACATCAAAAAGAACTTTCACAAAAATAAGGATTCCACCCCCCCTGAAAATGAAAATTATCATATTTCAAAATTTTCATTAAAACACTATAATTTATGAATTTGAACACATTTTCCACAACAAAAAGAACTTTTACGAAAATAATAATTCCACCCACCTGAAAACGAATTTTATCATATTTCAAAATTTTCATCGAAAAACTATAATTTATGCATCTGAACATATTTTCCACAACAAAAAGAACTTTTACAAAAATAAGAATTCCCCACCTGAAAAAGAATTTTACCATATTTCAAAATTTTCATTAAAAGAATACAAATCATACATTTGAACACATTTTCCACAACAAAAAGAAACTTTTATGAAAATAGTAATTCCACCCACATGAAAATGAATTTTGTCATATTTCGAAATTTTCATCAAATGACTATAATTTATGCAATTGAACACATTTTCCACATCAAAAAACTTTTACAAAAATAGTAATTCTCCCCCCTTGAAAATGAAATTTATCGTATTTCAAAATTTTCATCAAAACACTATAATTTATGCATTTGAACCCATTTTCCACATCAAAAAAACTTTTACAAAAAAATCGTGTCCACCCCACCTGGAAATGAAATTTTTATATTTTCATCAAAAGACTACAATTCATGCATTTAAAGACATTTTCCACATCAAAAAGAACTTTTGCAAAAATAAGGATTCCACCCCCCCTGAAAATGAAAATTATCATATTTCAAAATTTTCATTAAAACACTATAATTTATGCATTTGAACACATTTTCCAAAACAAAAAGCACTTTTACAAAAATAAGAATTCCCCACCTGAAAAAGAATTTTACCATATTTCAAAATTTTCATTAAAAGAATACAAATCATACATTTGAACACATTTTCCACAACAAAAAGAAACTTTTATGAAAATAGTAATTCCACCCACATGAAAATGAATTTTGTCATATTTCAAAATTTTCATCAAAAGACTATAATTTATGCAATTGAACACATTTTCCACATCAAAAAACTTTTACAAAAATAGTAATTCTCCCCCCTTGAAAATGAAATTTATCGTATTTCAAAATTTTCATCAAAACACTATAATTTATGCATTTGAACACATTTTCCACATCAAAAAAACTTTTACAAAAAAATCGTGTCCACCCACCTGAAATGAAATTTTATATTTTCATCAAAAGACTACAATTCATGCATTTAAAGACATTTTCCACATCAAAAAGAACTTTTGCAAAAATAAGGATTCCACCCTGAAAATGAAAATTATCATATTTCAAAATTTTCATTAAAACACTATAATTTATGCATTTGAACACATTTTCCAAACCAAAAAGAACTTTTACAAAAATAGGAATTCCACCCCACCCCCTGAAAACGAATTTTATCATATTTAAAAAGTTTCATTAAAACACTATAATTTATGCATTTGAACACATTTTCCAAAACAAAAAGCAATTTTACAAAAATAAGAATTCCCCTCCTGAAAATGAATTTTACCATATTTCAAAATTTTCATTAAAAGAATACAAATCATACATTTGAACACATTTTCCACAACAAAAAGAAACTTTTATGAAAATAGTAATTCCACCCACATGAAAATGAATTTTGTCATATTTCAAAATTTTCATCAAAAGACTATAATTTATGCAATTGAACACGTTTTCCACATCAAAAAACTTTTACAAAAATAGTAATTCTCCCCCCTTGAAAAAGAAATTTATCGTATTTCAAAATTTTCATCAAAACACTATAATTTATGCATTTGAACCCATTTTCCACATCAAAAAAACTTTTACAAAAAAATCGTGTCCACCCCACCTGGAAATGAAATTTTTATATTTTCATCAAAAGACTACAATTCATGCATTTGAAGACATTTTCCACATGAAAAAGAACTTTCACAAAAATAAGGATTCCACCCCCCTGAAAATGATAATTATCATATTTCAAAATTTTCATTAAAACACTATAATTTATGCATTTGAACACATTTTCAAATCAAAAACTTTTACAATAATAGGAATTCAACCCCCCCCTGAAAACGAATTTTATCATATTTCAAAATTTTCATCAAAATACTATAATTAATGCATTTGAACACATTTTCCTTATCAAAAAGAACTTTTACTAAAAAATCGAGTCCACCCCCCTGAAAATGAGTTTTATCATAGTTTCCTATTTTCATCAAAAGGCTATAATTCATGCATTTGAACACATTTTCCATTGAAAACCATTGAACACCATTAAAAAAGAAATTAACAACAGAATGAAATAAATGGCTGCGTTGCCGACAAAGGTAGCACAAATCTGGACTTTACAGTTATTGCTTGGTTTCATTTCACCATAAAATGCTTCTCTCCATTGCAGTCGCTCTCACTGTCCAAGAAATTATGTCACTCAGTTGAGCTGGAGAAACTTCCCGATGTGAATAATAAACAATGCGAACTCCTTGCTCAAAGATGGCTTTCGCCATGTCGCAGTCGAGTTTCGTGCTGCATAGAATAACAGACATTGCCTGATTTAAAATAAATTCACCATAAGACAAAATGAAAATTTTTTAAACAATCTCGGTTCTTTCATAAAAAAATAATGTTTCACGAAACACTTTTTGGAAGACGGGGGGTAGGGATAGGTAGTAAAGCATTTTGGGGAACTTAGATAAAGCTATTCGTAGTTTTAATTACTTTCGAATCTCACAGTTAATTTTTAACACCTCAGACCATAACACATCCTCTACGTTTAATGTTTATACAAAGTGATCAATAGGCGTGTTACAACTCAAATACATAACATGGCATAAATGAGGTAAAGTTAGAGAGCAACATCCAACTGGAAGATGACCCAACTCCACAAACTTCGTTTGAAAAGTTGCCTTTAAAAAAACACGACGAATATGTCAACTGAAATAAAAATTACGTAATGTTGTACTGAGGAGTCACTAGGGGGTGAACAAAGTACTCAATTATATTAAGGGGTGTGGGTAAAGAGGGAAGTATGGGGGTAAAGGAAACAGAACACGTTTTGGGGAACTTAGATAAAGCTATTCGTAGTTTTAATTACTTTTCAATCTCACAGTTAATTTTTAACACCTCAGAACATAACACATCCTATCAGGTTCAAGAAAAGAGAACATTTTAATGTTTATATAAAGTGATCAATAGGCGTGGATACAACTCAAATACATAACATGGCAAAATATGACCTAGTGCTCTGGCCTCCGTTTTATATAAAATGGTCACGTGTACCTGTGAATGACCAAATAAATGAGGTAAATTTAGAGAGCAACATCCAACTGGAGGATGACCCCACTCCACAAACTTCGTTTGAAAAGTTGCCTTTAAAAAAACACGACGAATATGTCAACTGAAATAAAAATTACGTAATGTTGTACTGAGGAGTCACTAGGGGGTGAACAAAGTACTATATCATATTAAGGGGTGTGGGTAAAGGAAACTGAACCCGTTGAGGTTTAACATCGCCACATAAATTTTTTCACTTTGGGGATTTTCGTCTGAATGTATTATTGACGTGTTTATTGCATTCATTGGTGAAGTATATTGACCAATGAAAAACGACTCAATAAATGTTTGACATATGATATTCAAGAAAGTTCGGCTGTTTTAAAAATTATATCTATTCCTTTCTTTTTTCCACAAAACTGTCAAAAATGACTTAAATGTTAGTGACGTGACGGTATGCGCAAAAAACTCTTTTGAGACAATCAATATTTTCCATATTAAATATAACTCTGATATTAAACTGTTGAAAACACAGATGAAGTCAGACCAGCTAGGATGAGTAATTTTATAAACTCAATACTATTACCTTTTCTGAAGCAAAGACTATATCACACAATGCGAGAAGGGAAAGACCAAATCCAGCTGTTGGACCGTTTACTGCAGCGATCAAAGGTTTAGGACACGTGACAAGAAGTTGTAGGTCGTATTTATTGCAGGTCTACACCACAATCTGAATAATCTGCACCTGTATGCATTTAACGGCATAAATGTGCCATTCAATGAACAACCCAATAAAACAGTACCATCAATAAAAACCATTGAGATTTTCACAAGAACAATAGAGATAAATCAAGAGGCATATAATCATTTATCACAAAACCTTTTCTATTGATGATGTCGGCTATAACTAAACTTTTTATATCTTCTTTTGTAGCTACTTCATTCCTTTATATACGCAACTTCGAGCAAAGGGAAAGGGACCACTTCAATACCCCAGTTATATCATCACATAAAGAATGTTTAGTGCAGAGTTGATCTTCTGTGAGTATCAGTTGACCACCTTCAGGTGGGCTCATATAATAATGGGGCCCATCATCATTATATGAACAAACAACTGACATCCACAAAGAATCTAAACTACAAACAAACATTCTTGGACATGAATCACCATGACAAATGAGCAACGAAAAACTAGTAAGAGTAATTGAAGTTAATGACAGAGGTGGTAAAGGGACTTTCACAACTCCATCCATGTGTGATCTACAATATGAGAAAATATGAAATAATGATATGCAAAGTAACAATGCATCAGCAAATTTAATTTGTCATGAAATCTCACGCATTTCTTTCATATTATATTACATTGACTCCCAAAGACTATAGTTCCTGCACTTAACACAATAAGACTAGAGTTCATGAACATAACTCCTGACTGTTATAGTCTATGCCCTAAATCACAAATATTATAATGAATCCACCTAACTCACTAACACTATACTTCCTGCATCTAACTCATAAATACTATAATTCACACAATTAGCTGGCAAACACTATATTTCATGGACCTCACACTCAAAAATTATAGTTTATGCACACAACTCCAAAGATTACATTTCACACACCTAAGTACCAATAATTAAATACAATAGGTTTTTATGAGATGACTTTTATCATAATATCTTTTTAGACGTATTCCTGACGCTAGCAAACGTGAAAATCAAGTTGTTGGTGATTATATCTGCTAAATATGATTGAAGAAAAACATCGAGCCAAGAATCATCTAAAGATATAGAAACAGAACATAAACTTACCACATCGCTTTCAATTTCATTGATAATGGCTTCTCCACCAAATTTCAGCGAACGAATTTTGACCTTGCCTAAATGTAAAAGGAGTAATGTTGCAAAGGAAGCAAAACGAGAAATGTCCGACGTCAATATATCTCACATTCCAAATATATTTTTCACGTTTTTCAGCCAAAGCCGCGTGTCGCTTTTCACGACACACTTTACGGGAACGGAATCGCAACCTTCAATGCAACAAGCCCCTAGCCAGCATATAATTACTAGAGAAAGCATAGTTTTTACATATGTAAAAAATTGACGCTCAATATTGCAAAAGCATATTGAAAGGAAAACCGAATAATAAATTATTATGGGAAAACTGAAAATGTTACCGATAAATAGGCATTTCTCAAAATCATTGTCCTTTGCCTTGCCGTTATTTTGAGCAGCCCTGTTCTTCTTGCTTAGTTAACTCAATTTTCAACAAGGTATTTTTATCTTAATGCAGTTAAGAGTTAAGGTATGATTGTCACACATTTCTTATTAATTTGCACTCAGGCGAATGAGATGTTACTCGTTGGAAAAAACTGACTGCCGTCGAAGCTTGTAACTACGGTTTGGTAATAGAAGTTATTCCTCAAGCCGTTTTGAAAAAGAAATTAACAACAGAATGAAATACATGGCTGCGTTGCCGACGAAGGTAGCACAAATCTGGACTTTACAGTTATTGCTTGGTTTCATTTCACCATACAATGCTTCTCTCCATTGCAGTCGCTCTCATTGCCCAAGAAATTATGTTGCTCAGCTGAGTTGAAAAAACTTCACGATGTGAATAATAAAGAATGCGAACTGATTGCTCAAAGATGGCTTTCGGAGGAATGCGCGCAAGCAGTGATGACTTTTTTACAACGCATATCAAAAATATAGTTGAAACATTAAGTTGATTCCTGTTTATGAAATGTTCGATGTATTTTCTTTCTGTGTATTTTAATCAGTTTGATAAAAACCATTTACACCAAAGTGTTAAGCGTACAAAAGCATCTGCGCAAACATCTACTTGATGTCACGTGACAACATGTTAATTAATGACACTTATTTTTAAACAACTGCATCAATTTTCAACAAATGCGCACGAAATAAGGTTATTGCGACTAAAAGTCCGTTACGCCAGCAGTAAACACTGAAGTCTCAATGACTTGGACGATACAGAACGAAATTTCCAGCAAAAATTTTTTCGCTATGTTTTGGAACCTGATTCAAAACGCAAGTTTTCTCCTCCAAAGTAAAGATTTTAAAAATCTTGGTTAAATGAACGAATATGTTTTGTTATTCAACTCAAGTTACGAATGATTTACACCAACAACGCTACAAATTCCGCTGCGTAAAGGTTACAAACGGATCATTAGGAATACAATTCCGCTGCGTAACTGTTACAAACGGATCATTGGGACACAATCTCCTATTTGTAAAATAAATATTAGCATGCGCCATAAGTCTGATCGCAAGTATACCTGGTTGGTAAGTCATTCCTGTAAGCTCGTCCACCATCTTCAAACGATGCCATCCAAAATATCATCGTTAGTGATGTACTTTTAAAACAAATCGTATTCCTAATGATTTTTAAACTCAAGTTCTTCATATCACTGCTGACCATCATCGTCTTTATGTCTCGCAGACACTACAATATTAAATATGCTGCTGTACTATTTGTTGACATGGATTTTTTATAAGTTCGAAACTGTAAATGTTTTCATAATCTGCGACGCAAACGTCCGTGAACAATAGAAATTTATTGCATTTTCAAAGGTCCCGTGTCCAGTCCCTCTCTCTCTAGTTGCTAAGCTCCGCCCACCCCCACTTCTTCTGCTTTCCAATAGTGCCCAATCTCTCTCCCTCGTTAAAATAGACACACAAACCTGTCTAGAAACTAGTGAAAATCTCGCCAAACGTGAATTGAGTTCCTCCTCGAAATGTTTGAATGATAAAATTTCTGCGACAATTCCGCGTTCCTTTGCCATGTCGCAGTCGAGTTTCGTGCTGCATAGAATAACAGACAAGGCCTGATTTAAAGGGAATTCACCGTTAGACCAAATGAAAATTTTATTAAAGCATCTCGGTTCTTTTATAAAAAAATAATTATGTTTCACGATACACTAATTTTAGGAGGGGAGAGCGGGTAGGGATATGGAGTAAAGAATTTTGGGGAACTTAGATAAAGCTATTAATAGTTTTAATTACTTTTCAATCTCACAGTTAATTTTTAACACCTCAGAACATAACACATCCTATCAGGTTCAAGAAAAGAAAACATTTTAATGTTTATATAAAGTGATCAATAGGCGTGGATACAACTCAAATACATAACATGGCAAAATATGATCTAGTGCTCTGGCCTCCGTTTAATATAAAAAAGTCACGTGTACCTGTGAATGACCAAATAAATGAGGTAAATTTAGAGAGCAACATCAAACTGGATTTCCCGTCAAATCAAAGGAAAGCTTGGATATGACATGCAATATGCAGGTATAAAGTTGTAGAGAAAAATAAAAAACATTTTTAACGGTGTCACGGATATTACGAGTGCCGTAACAAAGTGTTGACGCGTTTCACATGCATTTGTAAAAACAAGCTTAAGTAGACAAAGAGCATGACAAAAATATATGATGGAAAACTTGCTCAGCGCATCTACAAGCACCAATTTCAGAGCTCGCTCTGTCACAAATTAATTGAGAATCTGAGAATGCGTTGTCAACTCCACAAACTCTCCAAGCTCATGGTAACGACCAACTGGATGTACTAGTACCGATTTTGGAGTAATTAGCTTCCTCAGTCACACGTTTTAAGACAATCATCTGCGCATGCGCAGTCTCATTAAGCATGCACACTCAACTTGACCAGGTACCAAAGTTCTGGTCATGGCAACGACCAACTGCATCTACTAGCACCAATTTTAAAGTAAATAGCATGCTTAGTAACAATTTAATAGAGAAATCGTGTCCGCATGCGCTCGAGCATGCGCAATCCACTCGAGTAATTGTTCATAGTCATGAAAACGACCAACTATATGTACTTACACTACATTTGTGTCAATTAACTCATTAGTCGCAAATTATCAAAGAAATCATCTGCGCATGCGCAGTAACGATAACAATCATCCCACAACTTTCGTACGCCTTTAAATTTTGGTATATATATATAAAGCTAAAACTTCATATAGTAGATTTCAACTAGCATTGGAAGCTGGGTGCGATGTAGTATGCAGTGGCTTAGGAGCCCTCACTCTCCCTGCGTACCCTGAGCAAAGCCTATCGCAGGTGATCTCAGGTGGTCTTATGGGCGGAAGCTTGCTATTGGCATATCCCAAGTAGGATAACGTGGAGGGGCCGAAATCTCCTACCGTTAACATGCGGCGTTCTCTTACCTTGCGCTTAAGAAGGTATCGGGAAGCATGGACCGAAAACGGGGTTTTTTGCTTTCGAATTTTATCTTTTTGTTTTCTTCTCATAAAACAAACCAAGCAATGTTTCAAGTAACTTCTTATGACCCTGTCTTTTTCTGACACTTATAATTAAAGACAACTTTAAACATGTTTTATACCAATTTTATCGGTTTATATCTTTCTGATTTAATTCTCCCATTTACTGTTTCTCATGTATCACGAGCAAACCATCCATATGTTTCATGGAAAACAAACAACGATTATGTGGTTCCCTTAGTTAACATGCGACGCTCTAGTGATCAACTATCTCGGGGTATCGGTAGTCATGGACCGAAAACAGGATTCTTTGGTTTTCAAAATTTGTCTTTTTCTTTACAAGAATTCTTCTCATAAAAAAAACTAGAACGTCCAAGAATACTTCAAAAGTTGAAACAACTTCTGCCTTTTTGAATTATAATTGATATAATGATACGTAGATGAGCACTCGTATTTACTAATTAGCAGACCTGTATATATTATATATTACAGATAAACTTCAAAATACTTATCTTCCATCTAGCAATCCAGTATCAGACTCTTTAAATTATTTGGTAAGAAAGTTTTCTGTATTCCAAGAGTTGTTCCATCCATCACCACCTTCTGAGGAATTCTTCCACATAATTCACAAAAAAACCCATTGTCAAAATCAATATCAAGCAACCTTAATAAGAGAAAATTCAATAACTTAATAAAACAAGCGATCACTATCTCAATGGAATATTCATATTTTGCAGCTGAAAATGAAATGATGCTTACCGTATCATGGCAATGATAGCGAGACGAAACTTGGCGTAAGTTATTTCCTTTGGGAAATTCAAATTACCCGAAGACATATGCAACATAATATTTGTACATAGGTAAACAGAACAAGAAAAAAAATAAAAAACATTCAAAAGATATAGTGCGAGAAAATTAAATAATGGACAAACGTAGCTACTAAGGCTTCGGCAAATTTTCATTAAAAAGTACCTCGACGTTATGAAAAGCCGAATGTAATCTTTTAGAACGGCATGAGATATTGCATATGATCCAAACCATACAATCCTGTTTTCAATGCCATCATAATGCTTTTTCGTAGCACAAGAGGAGCAAGGTCTACAATACACTAAATAATTTATTTAAGTCAAATAATTATGAAGTGAAGCGTAACCTATAACAAATCAGAACTTACCCTTCACATCATGGATTGAACAAAAGTACGCAACTGAACACAAGTCTACGTACAACCATTCATCTTGAATAGAACGTTTATCCCACTCTGCACCACAAGAACAAATACCACTTTCAGATGGCGCCAAAATTTTATGACCATTTTTTTCAGGAAGATCAGTAAAATCGCTTGCATCATTCTCATTGCCTAAAATAATTAAATAGTAATATTTACAAAATGCTAGAAAGTGCTAAATACCATACCGATAAAGGAAATAGTATATGTAAAGCTAAAAGGATGTTCACCATTGCAGATTATCTTGCATACCTGTTTCAAATAAAGAAACCTTTTCTTTGCTAAGTGTAGCCAATTCAAAATAGTCTCGCATCTGGTGTAATTCCAAAGGAAAACTTAAAAAAGTGCCAATGGAGAATCCATTTCATCCTCGTCAACGATTTGCATGGCTTTTGCAAGGGTTGTCACATGAATGCAATGATATGACGAATAGCTGCAACATTTTAACTCGGGCTGGGGCGGCATTACTTATGAATACACTAAAGTACAAATCCCCCATGGACTATTCACTGGTTTTACAGCAATCCACTGAACCTCCCTGCACACTGCACTAAACAAGTCCTAAAATATGTAAAATCATTTATCTTTAAGGTTGTATTATGTGTGTGTATGTATGTGTGTGTATGTGTATGCAGATTAATAATTATGATTAATTATGACTTCACAAAATCCTTAGAAAGTGCTTAATATATATATATCAGGCACGTAACGCAAATGGTGAATATGACTTTACTATTTTTGTCATACATTTAGTTTATACTACTTAATGTATTTACTGTAAGTATATGGCTATGTATGTATGTGAGTATGAATGTGTATACCTCAATAGTCATAAATAAATTCAATTTGCCCTGTTGGTTATCACCCTAATAGCTTTATAGAAGCTCCTGAACTTAGGCACAGGATGTATGGTAACAAATTGTGGGGTATTAGAAGGTTGAGAAACAATACGTGTATTTGTACAAAAAAGTTATTTTCACATAACAAAATATACTTCTTCAGGTTGCATCTCATGGTAGGAATGATCACTGAAAACAGACTGCATCATGGATGTGGATTCTGCATTCATAAAAGAAATTCAATGAGATAAATATATTGTGTAAATAATCATTCACAAGTTTTAACAATATTTTTGCTTGTAAAGCTGTGCTGGTTAACATCCACATGTAATAAGAACAATGTCGAACAAGGGTCTTGTAAAAACACAGAAGGATGACTTCACAAGGGTTTGAAATGTACAATAAACTGATATTTAAGGATGAAGACATTTTCTCCCATACCACATGAAGAACTTTACATTGAAAAAATAAGCCAAATACAAATTTGAGACATTCACTACATGCAATGTCAGATTAATATGTAACAAGTTCTCACATCTTTGACAAGGGTCTTGAAACAAATAGTATGTAAGTGTAAGTCAAAATTTGGTGAAGCTGTTCAGACACCTTATATCCTGAAAGAGTAACACACAACACTTACTTTTTTCAATAAAATCTTTGGCTTCAATACCAAACTTTCTATCATACACAACCAGATATTTTTTCCATTGCTAATATGTGTATGCAACTAGGATATGGTATATCTGACAAGTACAAAAATGTTGTTTGGCCTGTTTTAATCATTTCATTTCAGTAACATCTATTTTACATACCTTTTTGAGGATCTAATTGTATATTATTAGGTAGGGCATCAACAAATTGCTTTCTATTTGCATCACATGAGCATCACAATATCCAACCATAGCCATCAAGCAATAGGTGGGGATATCGACGTACAAATACAAATTAATTATGCTGAAGAAAAAAATACATGCAGATTATAGCACCAAAAAAAGCGTATTGAGTAATGTCATTTAGTTGGGTATATACCCAACATTGAAATTATGGAAATAAAATTTGACATCACCATAACTGTTCTTTTGTTTGCATTATAATTATGAACAACAAAGGATTGCTGACGTGATACATTTGACGCAAAGTCAAACTGTAACAATAGCCCAGTATAGTGGCCAGTGGGTGACAAATGACTCTGAAAGAGCAAGTAAACAGTAATTATTAATGTTCACTGTTTCAAAAATATCTATTGTAATATATTTTTATGTTTGTTGAGCACATTTCTACCAGATGTTAATAAAGTTTTGCTAGACAGTGTTTCATGCATAAGCAATCAACAAGCATATTGTCAATTTATAACACATTAAAAACATGACTAGTGGTAAACAGTATAAAGTATAACTGTATATGTGAGAACTACTTGACTATGTTGACATGGTTGTTTGGGTTCTTCTGTAATAATAGAGATAGATTGCTTGGTAAAGATATCTTTAGAGTCCTACAAATAAAGACCATTATTTAATTTAAAATGTGTACAGACTTTTAATAAGTGTTTAAATAATGCATGCCTTCTTTAAATTACTTCAAAATTTTTTAGTTATTTCTAGTGAAAGCAGTCCTACTATAACCACTTCCAATGACTTTTCATGAGAAACAATATCAATATGTACATTAAAAACCTGTGTTTTGGTGGTTAACTCTTGGTGCTTGTCATAATTTTCAGCAATATCTTCACTTTGTTCATTCTACATATAAATGAAAAAACCCCATAAACATAGCGTATTTTTATATCTACATAGTTTTACAATATATGTAAACTTACCAAATCCCCAAATTCATTTTCTTGTTCAAAAAATTGAGATTCATATGACACACTGCTATTCTATTAACATATATGACATTGTGATTAAAGGATGTAGAGAATCCAGACTTGACATTGGAAAATGTGCTCCGAATAAGTGTTTTTCCTTACACCACATTGTGGGCATAAATAAATTTGTACACATACTTTTGTTAATATAACTGTGGTAATAAAAATAAATTAATATGAAATTGTGCAACCAGAAACAATAAAAGAACACTTTAAAATTCCTACCGCATCATCTTTTGTGTGTTTCCTTTCCTCTCCACGTTATTGTAAAAGAAGTCATTTGAGCGTCTGAATTTCTTCCTGAATTGATACATTTTGCAAGTGTACCCAAAAAATAATACCCCGATTTATAAAAACCAGTACTGCACGTGTTCTTGGATTGACAAAGTTAGCCTAGAATTAGTCTAAGTACCATTCTCCCAGCCAGACTTCCCGATATATATTTAAAAAAGTACTAAGCATAGTACTGAGTGACTGAGCCCTGTTGATCGAATGCCTTGCTTCGAACTTTTGATGTTGCAAACTCCTAAAAAATATGAATACGCGAAGAAATATTGTCCTCATACATGGACTTTGAAAAATGTAGTAAATGGAAGCCCTGAAATTTCTTTCTTAAGCTGCACCAGTCGGATAATATACACAATATAGTTAACATACCACTTGTTCAGAATACGCCTTTTTGAAAGCATGTCCATAATTATTCACTATCATCCATTGTAACCACTATCAACATCCTAATGTCATTGGTCAAAAATAGTCACATGTTTGATTTACTTTTGCCTTTCATTCATGTCATTTCTAGATATCAATTTTCTTATTCGTCCCAAGTTCAATCAATAATAAAAAAATATTTATTGTAAATTTTATTATAGCAAATGAACGTGACGCCAAGAGTTTGTAAATCACATGCAATTTTTGGTCGTAGTATAGTGAACTATCTATCTCGACCTTATTTAAACCTGAACATTTTTTACGAAGATGGTTCGAAGTTCTCTGCAATCTCTCACCAGTTTAAAGAAGCAAAAGACAAAGTAGGATCTTTAACTCAAGATCCAGGGAATGAATTGAAGTTAAAGATGAACGCCCTTTTTAAGCAGGTATTTTACGATTCATAAAGATATTGTATCCGGTTTTTACATAAAGCTTGAACATTGTTTGTTGTATCTCCTACCTACAAGCTCTTCAATTAAATTAAATGGTGACTTTACATTTTTAATGCACAATGTGCATCATTGCATTTGAATCACATTTTTGCAAAGGCACAGTGAATTTTTTTCAATTATAACTGTTCACAGTCCCACCATACAATACAATCAAAGTTAAAAATAAGACGAACCCAAATAACAATATACATTTCCAGGGTTCTTTAGGCAAATGTAATACACCAAAGCCTGGGACTTTGGACTTTGTTGGAAAGGCAAAATGGAATGCATGGAACGATTTGGGTGATTTATCACAGGTGAATATTTAGTTTAAGAAAGGCTGCACTTATCTTATAATGAACATTCAATATGTATCTAGTTTCAAACATCACCAAAGGACTGTATCTTTCAACAATTTTATTGAACACTCTCACAAGTCTTACTAAAATCTATCGTCATCAAATTATTTACAGTAAAAAAGTTGTTTTGTGCAAAGTTGACAGCACACCGTTAATTAAGAACTGAGTGTGTGGGTCTTCAGGAAATTATGAGTACATATGCACCTACCGGAACATACAGCTAAAATATCTGCATGTAAATCTGTGCTTTTCAATGGTTTTAATATACATAGTTTCTCTCCAAGCCATGCAATCTGAATTATATCCCCTATTTGTATTTACGAAGAATTCCTTAACATTTAGGAGAGTAAAATCTTGTACTTAACATTCTTAGTATTGGTGATGCAGGAAAAAAATGCAAATGTACCATTGATTCTCTATCAAATACCTATGTACTTTTGAAAAAAACTTCTATTGCATGTAATGAATACTTTTAAATTGAACTTTTCTTTTAGGTAGATGCACAAAAACAGTGTATAGCACTTGTGGAATCTTTACTAGGTGATTTTGAACTTTGCTGTGTATTATAAACACAAAGCTTTTCTGCAAAATATTCTGTATAAACATCATTTCGCTGTTGTGTACTACAATCTTGAACGCAACAGCAATGTAGAGACATGTAGCAAAGCAGGCCCTCTCTTTCACTTTCTAGCTAGTTTTGAGTTCATTGTTTGCCTCGTGATAACAAGATGCTTCTTCGACCTTACTCTTCCTGTTACCCAATTACTCCAATCTTCTAGTAACGATATTGCAGATGGTTTGCATTTGATAATTCTTTAAAAAACTTAGGTCGTGCAATACGTAATGACATCGATAACTATCATACTAGATGGTATAAAATTGCTTTAGACTTAGCAGCGAAGGTCAATGTTGAAGAAGGTAAACCTCGCACTTTTCATCGTCAGATAAGTCGCAGCAACATCCCTGCTGACTGCACTTCAGTTTACTATAAGAGATCACTATCACGATTCCTGTAGTCGATCATTTAAATTTGGAGTTAGCCAGAAGATTTGAAGAATCTTCTACTAATGTTTACTATGGTTTATATCTAATTCCATCCAAATTAATTTCTTATCTCTCTCATTCCAAGTCAGGATCCGCACGCTGGCAGGATAAGTTCACTTTATTTGCTACCATGTTTGCTGATGATTTTACAAATCCTATTGCTTTGGATGGTGAGCTTGAATTGTGGGAAACATATTTTACTATCATAAATAGAAATTTCGGTGTACATTTATTGATAGAGAAATAGACGGGGGGGTTATTAAAAGGGCAAAAATTGGACAAGGGGTGCCGTTAACTTAGAAAAAATATTTCGTGGGAGAATGTCGATAAAGACTATAGTTTTCATATATTTTTTTGTGTCAGAGGTTGAACGAGAATCCTGTACCAAATATCAAGCAAAAAAATCATACAATAATTTCAAATATAATAAGTTCTCTGTGGTACGCTTACCAATAATACATAAAGAATAAAACGATAACTGTTTGCACAAGGAATCCATTGTTTTCTGAAGAGGAGTTTTTGGCGGCTAAAACGTGAAGATATATAAAGTATATCCAAATCACAAACGAAACTACCTTCACATGACCAAATTACTGTCCATATAAATGATGTATGTAATAAAAAGCTACCTTGAAAACTTAATCAAACCCTTCTTTTCGCAATCATCTGCAACACCTCAAACTCAATCGGAACTCTTGAATTTCTCGCAGCGTAGCGGAAAGGAATAGGCATGAAATCAGGATACTCATCTCCACCATCACAGCTATTTTGATTTCTTCCTTACAACTCTAACATTGTCACGGATATTACGAGTGGCGTAACAAAATGTTGAAGAGTGTGATAAGCATTTGTCAAAACAAACCAACACCAAAATTAATACCAAAATCAACACCAAAATCAATACCAAAGTCAGCACCAACACCAAAATTAATACCAAAATAAACACTAAAACCAGCTCCGATACGAAAATCAATACCAAAATTAACACTAATACCAAAATCAGTACCGAAATCAACACCAACACCAAAATCAATACCAAAGTCAACATCAAAGCCAACACTAATACCAAAATAAATACCAAAACCAACACCAACACCAACACCAAATCAATACCAAATTAGTGTTTATCCAAAGAGTTTCTTAACACATTACACAATTCTAAAATATTACACATTAATGCACAATATTATTTATAAAACATGTTAAATATCTTTCTTGACACTACTATGTCAACAAATTTTGTTCTCATGCAGCATTAAACAAGCATGAAAAGAAGCCAATGTTCCATAATTTCAGTAATAATTTCAATAAAAAATATTGTCCACTTCAGCAGTTGGTTATGGATTGTTCTGAATAGTTTTCAATCTTGTTGAATTATCTTAGTTTAAATTATCTAAAAATTTCCAACCAACAATTTGGATAGCACATATCATAGCATTTTTGAATTATGTTCTTTTTTGTAGCACACCAAGATATCTCTACCTAATTCAAAATTACGAGTACATCATTCTGTTCTAAGACATCGGCCAACATCATGGCAAAGTTAACTACAAACTTTGTCAAGATTTATCTATCAGTTGACAGACATACCATAGGCGGCCCAATAAATCACTTAGCTAACTAAATTGTATAAACAAACGATAACTCACCCCATTTCATTGTAACAGACCGTGCGCTGCAAAACTTTGTATTAATTGATTATATATATATATATATACAAAGCGTATAACAATGTGCCCTCCCGGATATCATCATAGTAAAATGGTGACTCCTGCACTTGGGACACAGTACGTACGGTTACACATTGTATGGATTGTATTGTAGAGTCACTACAGTGCTCAAACCTATAAATGTGAGCTTTGCATATCGCGAACACGGTGAACGTCTCCATATGAGGCTCTCTACACAATCCGACAGTGCTCAAACTACGCACGCGTAGTGAGCGTAATATACAAAGTGTATATACAATGTGCCCTCCCGGCTATCACCATATTAAAATGGCGACTCCTGCACTTGGGACACAGGACACATCGGAGTAGTCTTGATGTCAATTCTGATGTTCCGTTTATATATGGTAATGTCACTATTTTACTGGTTCGTCTGTATCTTCGTTAGGTTTTCAGCTTGGGGTTTGTTGTGTATTTTGTTTAATATTTTGTTGATAAAGTTTCATGGGTAATTGTTGTTTATGAATGTGGAGTATAAGTAGTTGCGTTCATTTTTCTTGGCTTCTTCTGTATTGCAGTGGGTTTTAATCCTGTTAGCTAAGAGAGTTCGTATGCAACTAATTTTTTGTTGTGTGGAGTGATTGCTATTAAAGTTGAGTATTTGGTCTGTGTGTGTATTTTTGCGGAATACTTGTGTGTTTAATGTGCCGTCATGTGATCTGGTAAGTAGAGTATCTAGGAAGGTAAGTTGTTTGTTCTGTTCTTTGTCCATGGTGAAGGTTATGTTCTGTGTGGTGTTGTTTATTGTGTGTAGAATGTGTTCTGTTTTGTCTTTCTCGACGATAGCAAAGATGTCGTCAACAAATCTTCTCCATAGTCTGATGTGTGTGTTGTTAGTGACTGACTGCTTTTCAAGGTGTTGCATAACAGCTTCTGCAAGGAAGGTGGATAAAGGAGAACCCATTGGTGTTCCTGAGATTTGTCGGTAATACGAATGTTGGAAGGAGAATTCAGTGGAGAGGCAGAGCTCAAGCAGGTCGATGATATCGTCTTGGTCTAGTTCGGTTGTGATTTTCCACGAGTTGTTGTTAGTAAGTAGTTCGTTTGTGACTTGTTTGGCTATGTTTAGTGGTATGGATGTGAAAAGTGATACATCATAAGATATCATGATTTCGTTTGGTTTTAGTTTTACATTTTTAATATTGGTGAGGAAAGTGGTGGCATTTTTGATAGTATGATGTAATGATTTGACTAGTGGGTGCAGAATATTAGAAATATATTTTGATAATTCATACGTTGGTGATCCAGGAAGAGATACAATCGGTCATAGCGGGTTGTTTTCTTTGTGAATTTTTGGTAGTCCATAGAATTTGGCGGTGGAGGAGTCGTTGGGTCGGATTCTTTTGTAGACGGTTTCGTTAAGTTTCTTTTTGCTTTTAGTTGTTTTAATTTCTTGTTGATGCGGTTTGTAGTGGTTTTGTTGGGGTCTGTTTGGAGAGGTTCATACGTGTTGGTGTCTTGTAAGAGGGTCTTCGCTTTGTTGATGTAGTCTTATTTGTCCATGATTACGTTGTAAACGTTCTCTGGTATTGAAGAAATACGTTGTAAGCGCGACAGGCCAATTTGAAACACTGTTCTACACTTTATCTTCACAAATATTTAGTTTTCTGTAACGTTTCACACGCTAAGTAGCTCTAATTGAACACAAAATACACTACAGCTACCCTCAATAAGAAAATACAGTGTTTCCCTGTGCTTACCTTTTATTTAGTGATGAATGTCGTCATAATGAGAATCGTAATGAATCATAATGAGAATAATTCTCTGCTGTCAAGAAGAACATTATTTTAAAACATTAAAGACAACAAGTGGAAACACAAATACAAAAATGGACTATGGAGGATAAAGTTTTTAGATAACATGGTTAAATAACACTAGCGAAACTTTCAATAAAAGATCACTCCTGACAAATCATAAGACTGGAGCATATAGTGACTCGAGTTTCAACATTCGATCACTCCTGATGAAGACACTACGCTAGAATATATGTAAACTTATCTTTCAACAACATATCGTTCATGCTCAAGATATTAGACTGACGTACGACAATCTCTAATGTCATATAAATCTCGATAAAAAATCTGGTCCCCGGAGTTGACATGCTATCAGATAGGCAACAAACAAAGATGAGATAGCTGTACAAACCTGTATTATCGCAGCAAAGCTTCAAATCTTTAACAAGATGATTACAGATGTATAACATGAAAATAGCGATCAATATTAGTAAAGTTGGCTTAAGGATGTAATTTAATGTAAACATACGTTGAAATTAAACAGTTACAATTAACTATATCGTATAAATATCCTTTCCTATTTAAAATAATCTATATCATTATCCTCAATAACGAACTATACACATTGCTGCATTTGACCTCGGGTGTGTTGGGGAAACGTCATGTAAGGAGTCTCAAAGTACCAATATAAATTAGCAAACTTTGTGATCTATCTTACCAAATGGACTTAAATTGAGCAATAAAAAAATCTTAATCTTCAACAAAGCATATCCAAAAGATTTCTATAAATGTATAAAAAGTATACAATCGTTAAAAAGATCACGCTTGCACGCTTTTTGCTTCACCAACTGAGCAAAGATTCTCTTTTTCTTTGAACTGCTTGTCAACAATCATTGCAAGATTATTCAAAAACTCTTCTGAGGTTATCGTTTGTGCCTATTACGTAGGTTTGAGGGACAATATAAGTACATGCATGTACAACAAAGAACACGGGTGAAGGCTTTAATTCGTATTACTTACTTTCGAATACAGCGCATGTGCAAGGAATGGTAGTTTACGAAGAGTTCGACCACTTAGTTGATAACTTTTTCTAAACAAGAAAATGAGAGAAAGAATAATTCGTATGTTTATCACAGTGAGAAGCTTGACTGCTCCTTGCAAGTTCAAAAGGAGAAGGGCCTCCCAAAGAAACCTAACCAAAAGTCAACCAATATTCGTGATTATTTGAGAGTGGTCCATTACTTGATAACTACTGACTACGATAACAAAGAAAAAACATCTTTACGCCTTAAATGTAGATGTAATACAAAGTTAAATTTTATTCATGTTGCAAGTATTAAGACGGTATATTTTAAACCTCAGTCCTAAATTATTTGAGAACCCATCTGAACATGCACAAACAACTCAACAAACTGTTCGAGTTTACAATCATGGCAATGACAAACAGAACAAGCTTGCATCCTTCTGTGGTTCATTTGGTCACATATTGGGAAATCATAAATTTCAATCATAATGAGAAATTTAGTCATTTAACAAATTTTTCATATTCATAGTGATGGCAACAACAAGCTGGACCTATTTTCATCACTTTCTGAGTAATTAATCGCTTGGTCACAAAAATATAAGAAGATCATCTGAGCATGCGCAGTACGCTTGGGCATGCACAGCACGCTCAAGCAAGCAAAGTCCACTTGACCAATTGTCCGAGTTGATAGTCATGGAAACGACCATCTGCATTTACTAGAATCAATTAGGGAGTATATAACTTGCTTATTAACAAATTATTAAAGATATCAACTGAGCATGCGCAGTTAAATTGATTGGCTGCCAATGTTCATGGTCATGGCAACGACCAATTGCATCTACTAGCCCGATTTTGAAGTAAATAGCATGTTTAGTAACAATTTAATGGAGAAATCATCTGCGCATGCGCTCGAGCATGCGCAGCCCACTCGACTAATTGTTTATAGTCATGGCAACGACTAACTAGATGTACTTGCACTACATCTGGGGCAATTATACCACTTAGTCGCAAATTATCAAAGAAATCATCTGCGCATGCGCAGTAACGATAACAATCATCCCACAACTTTCGTACGCCTTTAAATTTTGGTATATATATATAAAGCTAAAACTTCATATAGTAGATGTCAACTAGCAGTGGAAGCTGGCTGCGATATAGTATGCATTTCCTTAGGGGCCCACACTTCGGTGGCGACCGCACTCTCCCTGCGTACCCCGAGCAAAGCCTATCGCAGGTGATCTCAGGATCTGATGGGCGGAAGCTTGCTATTGCATCTCCCAAGTAGGATAGCGTGGAGGGGCCGAAATCTGCTACCGAAACGTTAACATACCGCGTTTTAGTGCCTTACGCTTAAGAAGGTATCGGGAAGCATGGACCGAAAACGGGGTTTTTTCCTTTCAAAATTTGTCTTTTTTCTTTACAAGAATTCTTCTCATAAAAGAAACTAGAACATACTGCCAAGGTTCAGACAACTTCTGAAAATCCTCCGGGCGTACTTTCGTTTTCTTTGTAAAACGAGAAGAATACTAACTTGAAAACATGAAGACTGGATGACATAATATCTACCATAAACTAAGACAAGAAATGTTTATTTTACTCTGTGACATCACTTTACTTTAAAGTGAAAGGTTTGAACATGGGAGTATCGTTACATGTTTCTAGATGTAGATCGTCCAGGTTAGTAAAGTCCTGAAAAGAACTGTTGTTGTTGATGCTGACTCTAAAGATGACTACCGCTAAGGTTGTCGAGAAGTCAGTCAACATCAACATCAACAGTCCTTCGCAGGACTCAACTAACCTCGACGAGTACAGTATATGTAAAAACCGGATACAATATCTTTATGAATCGTAAAATACCTACTTAAAAAGGGCGTTCATCTTTAACTTCAATTCATTCCCTGGATCTTGAGTTAAAGATCCTACTTTGTCTTTTGCTTCTTTAAACTGGTGAGAGATTGCAGAGAACTTCGAACCATCTTCGTAAAAATGTTCAGGTTTAAATAAGGTCGAGATAGATAGTTCACTATACTACGACCAAAAATTGCATGTGATTTACAAACTCTTGGCGTCACGTTCATTTGCTATAGTAAAATTTACAATAAATATTTTTTTATTATTGATTGAACTTGGGACGAATAAGAAAATTGATATCTAGAAATGACATGAATGAAAGGCAAAAGTAAATCAAACATGTGACTATTTTTGACCAATGACATTAGGATGTTGATAGTGGTTACAATGGATGATAGTGAATAATTATGGACATGCTTTCAAAAAGGCGTATTCTGAACAAGTGGTATGTTAACTATATTGTGTATATTATCCGACTGGTGCAGCTTAAGAAAGAAATTTCAGGGCTTCCATTTACTACATTTTTCAAAGTCCATGTATGAGGACAATATTTCTTCGCGCATTCATATTTTTTAGGAGTTTGCAACATCAAAAGTTCGAAGCAAGGCATTCGATCAACAGGGCTCAGTCACTCAGTACTATGCTTAGTACTTTTTTAAATATATATCGGGAAGTCTGGCTGGGAGAATGGTACTTAGACTAATTCTAGGCTAACTTTGTCAATCCAAGAACACGTGCAGTACTGGTTTTTATAAATCGGGGTATTATTTTTTGGGTACACTTGCAAAATGTATCAATTCAGGAAGAAATTCAAACGCTCAAATGACTTCTTTTACAATAACGTGGAGAGGAAAGGAAACACACAAAAGATGATGCGGTAGGAATTTTAAAGTGTTCTTTTATTGTTTCTGGTTGCACAATTTCATATTAATTTATTTTTATTACCACAGTTATATTAACAAAAGTATGTGTACAAATTTATTTATGCCCACAATGTGGTGTAAAAAACACTTATTCGGAGCACATTTTCCAATGTCAAGTCTGGATTCTCTACATCCTTTAATCACAATGTCATATATGTTAATAGAATAGCAGTGTGTCATATGAATCTCAATTTTTTGAACAAGAAAATGAATTTGGGGATTTGGTAAGCTTACATATATTGTAAAACTATGTAGATATAAAAATACGCTATGTTTATGGGGTTTTTTTTAATTTATATGTAGAATGAACAAAGTGAAGATATTGCTGAAAATTATGACAAGCACCAAGAGTTAACCACCAAAACACAGGTTTTTAATGTACATATTGATATTGTTTCTCATGAAAAGTCATTGGAAGTGGTTATAGTAGGACTGCTTTCACTAGAAATAACTAAAAAATTTTGAAGTAATTTAAAGAAGGCATGCATTATTTAAACACTTATTAAAAGTCTGTACACATTTTAAATTAAATAATGGTCTTTATTTGTAGGACTCTAAAGATATCTTTACCAAGCAATCTATCTCTATTATTACAGAAGAACCCAAACAACCATGTCAACATAGTCAAGTAGTTCTCACATATACAGTTATACTTTATACTGTTTACCACTAGTCATGTTTTTAATGTGTTATAAATTGACAATATGCTTGTTGATTGCTTATGCATGAAACACTGTCTAGCAAAACTTTATTAACATCTGGTAGAAATGTGCTCAACAAACATAAAATATATTACAATAGATATTTTGAAACAGTGAACATTAATAATTACTGTTTACTTGCTCTTTCAGAGTCATTTGTCACCCACTGGCCACTATACTGGGCTATTGTTACAGTTTGACTTTGCATCAAATGTATCACGTCAGCAATCCTTTGTTGTTCATGATTATAATGCAAACAAAAGAACAATTATGGTGATGTCAAATTTTATTTCCATAATTTCAATGTTGGGTATATACCCAACTAAATGACATTACTCAATACGCTTTTTTTGGTGCTATAATCTGCATGTATTTTTTTCTTCAGCATAATTAATTTGTATTTGTACGTCGATATCCCCACCTATTGCTTGATGGCTATGGTTGGATATTGTGATGCTCATGTGATGCAAATAGAAAGCAATTTGTTGATGCCCTACCTAATAATATACAATTAGATCCTCAAAAAGGTATGTAAAATAGATGTTACTGAAATGAAATGATTAAAACAGGCCAAACAACATTTTTGTACTTATCAGATATACCATATCCTAGTTGCATACACATATTAGCAATGGTAAAAATATCTGGTTGTGTATGATAGAAAGTTTGGTATTGAAGCCAAAGATTTTATTGAAAAAAGTAAGTGTTGTGTGTTACTCTTTCAGGATATAAGGTGTCTGAACAGCTTCACCAAATTTTGACTTACACTTACATACTATTTGTTTCAAGACCCTTGTCAAAGATGTGAGAACTTGTTACATATTAATCTGACATTGCATGTAGTGAATGTCTCAAATTTGTATTTGGCTTATTTTTTCAATGTAAAGTTTTCATGTGGTATGGGAGAAAATGTCTTCATCCTTAAATATCAGTTTATTGTACATTTCAAACCCTTGTGAAGTCATCCTTCTGTGTTTTACAAGACCCTTGTTCGACATTGTTCTTATTACATGTGGATGTTAACCAGCACAGCTTTACAAGCAAAAATATTGTTAAAACTTGTGAATGATTATTTACACAATATATTTATCTCATTGAATTTCTTTTATGAATGCAGAATCCACATCCATGATGCAGTCTGTTTTCAGTGATCATTCCTACCATGAGATGCAACCTGAAGAAGTATATTTTGTTATGTGAAAATAACTTTTTTGTACAAATACACGTATTGTTTCTCAACCTTCTAATACCCCACAATTTGTTACCATACATCCTGTGCCTAAGTTCAGGAGCTTCTATAAAGCTATTAGGGTGATAACCAACAGGGCAAATTGAATTTATTTATGACTATTGAGGTATACACATTCATACTCACATACATACATAGCCATATACTTACAGTACATACATTAAGTAGTATAAACTAAATGTATGACAAAATAGTAAAGTCATATTCACCATTTGCTTTACGTGCCTGATATATATATATTAAGCACTTTCTAAGGATTTTGTGAAGTCATAATTAATCATAATTATTAATCTGCATACACATACACACACATACATACACACACATAATACAACCTTAAAGATAAATGATTTTACATATTTTAGGACTTGTTTAGTGCAGTGTGCAGGGAGGTTCAGTGGATTGCTGTAAAACCAGTGAATAGTCCATGGGGGATTTGTACTTAATAGTGTATTCATAAGTAATGCCGCCCCAGCCCGAGTTAAAATGTTGCAGCTATTCGTCATATCATTGCATTCATGTGACAACCCTTGCAAAAGCCATGCAAATCGTTGACGAGGATGAAATGGATTCTCCATTGGCACTTTTTAAGTTTTCCTTTGGAATTACACCAGATGCGAGACTATTTTGAATTGGCTACACTTAGCAAAGAAAAGGTTTCTTTATTTGAAACAGGTATGCAAGATAATCTGCAATGGTGAACATCCTTTTAGCTTTACATATACTATTTCCTTTATCGGTATGGTATTTAGCACTTTCTAGCATTTTGTAAATATTACTATTTAATTATTTTAGGCAATGAGAATGATGCAAGCGATTTTACTGATCTTCCTGAAAAAAATGGTCATAAAATTTTGGCGCCATCTGAAAGTGGTATTTGTTCTTGTGGTGCAGAGTGGGATAAACGTTCTATTCAAGATGAATGGTTGTACGTAGACTTGTGTTCAGTTGCGTACTTTTGTTCAATCCATGATGTGAAGGGTAAGTTCTGATTTGTTATAGGTTACGCTTCACTTCATAATTATTTGACTTAAATAAATTATTTAGTGTATTGTAGACCTTGCTCCTCTTGTGCTACGAAAAAGCATTATGATGGCATTGAAAACAGGATTGTATGGTTTGGATCATATGCAATATCTCATGCCGTTCTAAAAGATTACATTCGGCTTTTCATAACGTCGAGGTACTTTTTAATGAAAATTTGCCGAAGCATTAGTAGCTACGTTTGTCCATTATTTAATTTTCTCGCACTATATCTTTTGAATGTTTTTTTTTTTTCTTGTTCTGTTTACCTATGTACAAATATTATGTTGCATATGTCTTCGGGTAATTTGAATTTCCCAAAGGAAATAACTTACGCCAAGTTTCGTCTCGCTATCATTGCCATGATACGGTAAGCATCATTTCATTTTCAGCTGCAAAATATGAATATTCCATTGAGATAGTGATCGCTTGTTTTATTAAGTTATTGAATTTTCTCTTATTAAGGTTGCTTGATATTGATTTTGACAATGGGTTTTTTTGTGAATTATGTGGAAGAATTCCTCAGAAGGTGGTGATGGATGGAACAACTCTTGGAATACAGAAAACTTTCTTACCAAATAATTTAAGAGAGTCTGATACTGGATTGCTAGATGGAAGATAAGTATTTTTGAAGTTTATCTGTAATATATAATATATACAGGTCTGCTAATTAGTAAATACGAGTGCTCATCTACGTATCATTATATCAATTATAATTCAAAAAGGCAGAAGTTGTTTCAACTTTTGAAGTATTCTTGGACGTTCTAGTTTTTTTTATGAGAAGAATTCTTGTAAAGAAAAAGACAAATTTTGAAAACCAAAGAATCCTGTTTTCGGTCCATGACTACCGATACCCCGAGATAGTTGATCACTAGAGCGTCGCATGTTAACTAAGGGAACCACATAATCGTTGTTTGTTTTCCATGAAACATATGGATGGTTTGCTCGTGATACATGAGAAACAGTAAATGGGAGAATTAAATCAGAAAGATATAAACCGATAAAATTGGTATAAAACATGTTTAAGGTTGTCTTTAATTATAAGTGTCAGAAAAAGACAGGGTCATAAGAAGTTAATTGAAACATTGCTTGGTTTGTTTTATGAGAAGAAAACAAAAAGATAAAATTCGAAAGCAAAAAACCCCGTTTTCGGTCCATGCTTCCCGATACCTTCTTAAGCGCAAGGTAAGAGAACGCCGCATGTTAACGGTAGGAGATTTCGGCCCCTCCACGTTATCCTACTTGGGATATGCCAATAGCAAGCTTCCGCCCATAAGACCACCTGAGATCACCTGCGATAGGCTTTGCTCAGGGTACGCAGGGAGAGTGAGGGCTCCTAAGCCACTGCATACTACATCGCACCCAGCTTCCACTGCTAGTTGACATCTACTATATGAAGTTCTAGATTTATATATATATACCAAAATTTAAAGGCGTACGAAAGTTGTGGGATGATTGTTATCGTTACTGCGCATGCGCAGATGATTTCTTTGATAATTTGCGACTAAGTGAGTTATATGACACAAATTTAGTGCAAGTACATATAGTTGGTCGTTTTCATGACTATGAACAATTACTCGAGTGGATTGCGCATGCTCGAGCGCATGCGGACACGATTTCTCTATTAAATTGTTACTAAGCATGCTATTTACTTCAAAATTGGTGCTAGTAGATGCAGTTGGTCGTTGCCATGACCACGAACTTGGGTAGCTGGTCAAGTTGACTGCGCATGCTTAATGAGACTGCGCATGCGCAGATGATTTGTCTTAAAACGTGTGACTGAGGGAGCTAATTACTCCAAAATCGGTACTAGTACATCCAGTTGGTCGTTACCATGAGCTTGGAGAGTTTGTGGAGTTGACAACGCATGCTCAGTTTCTCAATTAATTTGTGACAGAGCGAGCTCTGAAATTGGTGCTTGTAGATGCGCTGAGCAAGTTTTCCATCATATATTTTTGTCATGCTCTTTGTCTACTTAAGCTTGTTTTTACAAATGCATGTGAAACTCGTCAACACTTTGTTACGGCACTCGTATTATCCGTGACAACGTTAAAAATGTTTTTTATTTTTCTCTACAACTTTATACCTGCATATTACATGTCATATCCAAGCTTTCCTTTGATTTGACGGGAAATGGTTTTTATTCACTCTTACATCTTCTGCCTTTATAATTAGTCAATCTGTATTTCTAAACTAATATTTACAAATGACCCAAGAGAATCTTTTTATTTTATTGGCTCTCTTCTACAAATACAATACCATGTCCGACTATTTGATTGCACGAATTTTGTGATTTGATCACGTTTTTTTGACACGTGTGTTTACCATGGGAATGATGGATTGCTTAAATGTACCTAGTTGTTTAGACTAGTTGGATCCATAGTTATCCTGTAATGTATACTCTTGTGAAACACCAATGAGCATACGTAGTGTGTCTTCTATAACCTCTATTCTTGTTCTCCACTTCATCATCTATCCATATTTGTTCTTTTTAGTTCTCAGCTCAACACAACCCTTGTCTGAAGTTCCTAAACCTTGATCTACCCAAGAAAGATCTCTGGTGGTAACATGTTAGGTATGGCTAGTGGTTGGTCATCGTCATTGAGCCTTGTGACACCAGTTCAGTATACGTTAATTGTCCTGAAGACGTTGAGGAGGTTGCTAGTAAAGCGTCGCCTAAACCAGAAGTTAGTTTTCATGGTATGCTAACGGATTACGCAAACGTTGTTAGAAAGAAGTTCACATCAAATGGTTATGGTCTCGTTCCATCGTCTTCTGAGAAGGTTTCATGTTCATCCTGTATCTTTCACCAATGTTACAAATACTTAGTTTTTTTATGTTTTTTGAAATTGTCGTTTTTATGACTATTATTTTAGAGCATAGACATTGAAGAATCTTGTGGTAGTACAGGTATTTTCAACATTTTTTTGTTGAAAAATTCTCTAGTTTCAATTCTTCGAAATTTCTCATCTTAATTTTCATCTTTACTTTAGAATCCTTTCGATACGAGAAATCATCGGGATTTGAGGTACTTTATACGATATATTGAATTTAAGTTTTATAGCGTTAATAACTCTCATCTGTCCATCGTAACTTTGCTATGATTCTATGGATAAATTATGTTTTTATATATAACAGATTATTGATGATCCTACTTCACCTGAAGGTGTTCAGCAAGAACGACGTATGAAGTTACTGTCGTTAATTAACAATATACCCTTGATAAAGGGTTGGATGGTCAAAATTATAAATGTCATGGTTGTTCCAGACCAATTGGAATGAGTATGATCAATAAATTCTCGACTTGTTATTTGCTAATAATTCAAATATATTTATTTTCAAATTTCTTAGCTTAATAAATGATATCTTTGTAGAAACTATTATAACAAAGTACATAATCCCTTTTTCCGTGAAGCCCATGGATGCGTTCGTTCATGATGAAAGAGTCATATTGTATAAGGAGGCTCTCATTCATCACGAGAGAGTTAAGAAAAAGTTACGTTGTAAAAGGTAATAAGTAAAAAACGCATAAACATGCTAAGAGTTTTTTTAAGTTATAGTTCAAAAATGCAGAAGTTGTTTGAACCTTTGAAGTATCCTTGGACGTTCTAGTTTTTTTTATGAGAAGAATTCTTGTAAAGAAAAAGATAAATTTTGAAAACCAAAGAATCCCGTTTTCGGTCCATGCCTCCCGATACCCCGAGATAGTTGAGCACTAGAGCGTCGCATGTTAACTAAGGGAACCACATAATCCTTGTTTGTTTTCCATGAAACATATGGATGGTTTGCTCCTAATACATGAGAAACAGTAAATGGGAGAGTTAAATCAGAAAGATATAAACCGATAAAATTGGTATAAAATATGTTTAAGGTTGTCTTTATTTATAAGTGTCAGAAGAAGACAGGGTCATAAGAAGTTAATTGAAACATTGCTTGGTTTGTTTTATGAGAAGAAAACAAAAAGATAAAATTCGAAGCAAAAAACCCCATTTTCGGTCTATGCTTCCCGATACCTTCTTAAGCGCAAGGCACTAGAACGCCGCATGTTAACGTTTCGGTAGGAGATTTCGGCCCCTCCACGCTATCCTACTTGGGAGATGCCAATAGCCAGCTTCCGCCCATCAGACCCTGAGATCACCTGCGATAGGCTTTGCTCAGCGTACGCAGGGAGAGTGCGGTCGCCACCGAAGTGTGCGCCACCCTAAGCCACTGCATACTATATCGCACCGAGCTTCCACTGCTAGTTGATATCTGCTCTACGAAGTTTTAGCTTTATATATATATACCAAAATTTAAAGGCGTACGAAAGTTGTGGGATGATTGTTATCGTTACTGCGCATGCCCAGATGATTTCTTTGATATTTTGCGACTAAGTGAGTTACTTGACACAAATGTAGTGCAAGTACATATAGTTGGTCGTTTTCATGACTATGAACAATTACTCAAGTGGATTGCGAAAGCTCGAGCGCATGCGGAGACGATTTCTCTATTAAATTGTTACTAAGTGGAGGATGACCCCACTCCACAAACTTCGTTTGAGAAGTTGCCTTTAAAAACACGACGAATATGTAAACTGAAATAAAAATTACGTAATGTTGTACTGAGGAGTCACTAGGGGTTGAACAAAGTACTCAATTATATTAAGGGGTGTGAGTAAAGAGGGAAGTATGGGGGTAAAGGAAACTGAACCCGTCGAGGTTTAATATCGCCCCATTACCACATAAATTTTTTCACTTTGAAGATTTTCGTCTGAATGTATTATTGACGTGTTTATTGTATTCATTGGCGAAGTAAATTGACCAATGAAAAACGACTCAATAAATGTTTGACATATGATATTAAAGAAAGTTTGGCTGTTTTCAAAATTATATCAATTCCTTTCTTTTTTCCACAAAACTCTCAAAAATGACTTAAATGTTAGTGACGTGACGGTATGCGCAAAAAACTCTTTTGAGACAATCACTATTTTCCATATTAAATATAACTCTGAAATTAAACACTTGAAAACACAGATGAAGTCAGACCAGCTAGGATGAATAATTTTACTAACTCAATACATTACCTTTTCTGAAGCAAAGACTATATCAGACAGTGCGATAAGGGAAAGACCAAATCCAGCTGTTGGACCGTTTACCGCAGCGATCAAAGGTTTAGGACACGTGAGAAGAAGTCGTAGAAGTCGAAATGAACATCTATTTGTCGTAGAAGTCGAAATGAACATCTATTTTGCTTTTTAAAAAAGACAACACTTAAAAAGACAATGAACACAAAACAAACAAACAAAAACACAAACAACAAACAATCCAACAACAGCAAACGATAATACCTTACATTTTACAACTCGCACATCAACTGACTACCAAGAACAACGAGTACTGACAAGTGAGCATCACAATGCACAACATTACAAACAGCATTGACCATAGACAACGACTTACGTTAGAAAGTAGGTTAACAAACTCAAAAAAAAAATCATTGAACAGAATACAAATATCAGCACCTTATAAACGGCTTACAAGCGAACAATTAATAAGTATACCACACAAACTAAAACATCCACATATTTTCCTCTCTGTCATGACGTCTAGAGAACAAATACGGCGAACCTGACCAATGTTGTGGAAACGTCAGTAAACTCTGAACACCAACAGTGGTTCCAAACCATTTTAATTTCTATTTATTTGTACAGTAAATAAAAATAATTTAAAAGACTTATTCATACCAAGAATGAAGTTGTACTGTGAAAGTTGTGCATTGCGAACTTTCTTATTTAGTGTTGATCCGTGATCCAAGTCTGTAACAACACGATAACCACCTGCTTGGAACTTCTTTTGAATATAAACATGACCAAAATGTCAATAAAAAAAAAAGGACAAAAAAATTCCAATTCATAAAATAGCAACAATTTGTCCATAGCTGAGTTTGCATTAGCCTGTGCAAGTTCGATCTAAGCCTTACCAAATTAAATTTACCGGTTCGGCATAATCATCATATTTACTACTGACAGGAATTACTACAACTTGATGGGGAGAAAGCCATAAAATCCTAGAAAATAACAGAAAATGCAGTGCGTCAAAATTTTGAAATAAAGTAAAGTAGAGTAAAAATGATAAAAAATTTCCAAACAACTAAGAAACTTTGTATCATTTTAATTTAACATTTTAAGGACATTTCATTTGCTTTAAGCTCTGGCATGAGCCAAGAAAACACTCACCATTTTCCACCAAAGCTTTCAGCAAGAATAGCAATCATTTTTTCAACTGAACCTACAATAGCTCGATGAATAATAACAGGATGTAATTTTATATCTCCTTCACCACTGTCAATAGAGTAATAGAATATTGATAAATTACTAAATTGTTACAATTTGTAAAGATCTACAATTTCATGGAAACTTAAACTGTGCCGTAATCCTCTGACTATAATACACAGGCTTACATATGTTTGTGAGCCATTATCAATGATATTTACATGGGGGGATGGATGCACAGGGATACATGCATGGACTATTAACTATTATATTGCAATTATCTGATTGCAATATTAAATGTAACTATATACTTATATGCGGGTGGGTTTGTTTGCGGGCGAGTTTGAATGCAGGTGGGACTTTCAGTGTTCAGCAATGTAGCAGGCTGCATATAAGTATATAGTATATATAAGCATATAAATATATAACAATAGGTTTCTATAGAAACAAATAATCATGTCACTGTTGGTTAAATAAATTAAGTATCAAGACCGTAGTGAGGTTATTCAACGAAAAGCTTACTGGCAAAACTTACCTAGCGTGAGGTTGAATCTCTCAGGAAGTTGGAAATCCAGTTCAATTGTTGCACATTGATGAGACCATCTCATAGCATCAAAATTTTTTATATTAATCTATAAATTGTGATAGCAATGAAATTATAAATTCACAATGGTATACATCTGTAAACATAGAAAGCTTCATCCCCCATCCCCAGGATTTATCTGCCGTTTTTGACCAAAATTATTCAAAGCTTCCATCAGTTTCTAATGAAGCATAAAACAAACTCATTTAGTTAAACAATTAAAAATATTATAAATCATTAAACATTTTCGATATTTATGACAAGACAGCTAAAAAACATTGTAAAGACTGCATTTATGTTCGCTGTGAACAAATTTCCTCCCTTTTTTGGGAGGTAAACAAACCAATCTGTATGTCAAATCAACAAATGAAAACATTCTATATTTTATTTCATTCTTGAATAACTGTCTATATCTTTGATATCCATTAAGAGGAATTGCACACGATGAAACAAATGTAACTTGATTAAATAGTTCATTGGTTTCAACCATTGAGTTGTAATGTTTGAAATGTTCAAGGTTAGAAGCCATCTTGATTTCAGCAAGCGGAGACTGAAACGAGTTAATATTTTAGTTGCAATATTTACAAATACTAAATAAAATCAATTACAAGAAAACAAAAACAATGATGAACCAAAATTGTTAAAGAACATATTTTAAGTAAAACGACTCATGCAAGGTAACTCAAATGTTCAACTTATGATGGTGAAAATATAAAAAACATGGAGATAAAATAAAGCATGACAATCAATAGATCTTCACTTAGGTAATAATAGCTGCAGATCCAAATTTATAAACAGTGTGTGAAGCACTGACTAAAACATTTGGCAATCAAATGCACTTGAAAGCCCTGGCAGGTTAGCTAAAGTCCTCGGTGCTACAAGTCTTGTGACTTTTACTACAAAATCTCCCTCGGCTTTCAAGTACATTTAATCACTAAGTTACCTCACTACCGTGCATCGTTTTACTTATAAAAATATTGCACACGCTAGCTAAAATGTAGATCCCATTAACTACATACATGTATGGTCTTATATGAGCCAGTTTTAAATACTCAAAGAATATTTAGGCAATCAGAGAGTAGAATATTTTTACCTTACTCTGAACAAAACAGTTTTTCTTGTGAGTCTTTTATCGCAGGGATACGTCGGTATAAAATTCTTATCACCAAAATGTTTCAAATTCCAAATTGGTGAAGTGTTGACTGTGTAGTAAGCTGGTCGATACAACTCATACGCAACGCATCGATTTGCTGTTTAAAATCATGATAGAACTCATGCAGATAGATTGGTTTCACATAGCCAGAATAACAACCAATAACTGTTAGCTTCCAGAACAATTCAGTGAATTCACCACAAATGTCAGTCTGCTACGTGAAGATAGTTCTCTTGCATATGCCTCAAGTCTTTTTTTACGCTTCCGAATTGCATCCTTGAACGCCTTATTTTATACAGTTCAGCCAACATTTACCTATTCTTGCCATAAAATGATTAAGTGTGCTCCAAGTTGACTGAAAATAAAATTGTTCCGAAGTTTGTATTGCGTCCATTTTCTGGTAGGTATAACATCACTTACAACCACGCGAATAAAGGAGGTATCCGCTGTACACTGGTAAAGACAACTCAGAAATAGTACATAGTAAAACAGGAATCGTACGAATTCGATCATTAATAAAAGCTCTGGAATCACTAGTATAGAACCTAAAGAACACGAATAATTTAATCCAATAAAATTTAAAAGATCGATACCATGAACAAAAAACGCCTGTACGTGAGGTTACAAGGGATTAGAACTTTGATTTATAGAAGTATAACCATCGTGGTTATCCATACCATTTTCTGTATGTTGTATAATCTCTGAATTTTTACTAATTTTCTCATCTGGTTTACACCATTGTGTCGCACAAACACGAAATTTTAAGTCCTCGTAAAAATTTACTTGTTTTTAGCCATCATTTCATCATGGTTATACATACCATTTTCCGGTATGTTTTATAATCTCTGAAATTTTACTAATTTTCTCATCTGGTTTACACCATAGTGACACACAAACACGAAATTTTAAGTCCTCGTAAAAATTTACTTGTTTTTATCCATCATTTCATCATGGTTATACATACCATTTTCCGGTATGTTTTATAATATCTGAAATTTTACTAATTTTCTCATCTGGTTTACACCATAGTGACACACAAACACGAAATTTTAAGTCCTCGTAAAATTTACTTGTTTTTTATCCATCATTTCATCATGGTTATACATACCATTTTCCGGTATGTTTTATAATCTCTGAAATTTTACTAATTTTCTCATATGGTTTACACCATAGTGACACACAAACACGAAATTTTAAGTCCTCGTAAAATTTACTTGTTTTTATCCATCATTTCATCATGGTTATACATACCATTTTCCGGTATGTTTTATAATCTCTGAAATTTTACTAATTTTCTCATCTGGTTTACACCATAGTGACACACAAACACGAAATTTTAAGTCCTCGTAAAAATTTACTTGTTTTTTAGACATCATTTCATCATGGTTATACATACCATTTTCCAGTATGTTTTATAATCTCTGAAATTTTACTAATTTTCTCATCTGGTTTACACCATAGTGACACACAAACACGAAATTTTAAGTCCTCGTAAATATTTACTTGTTTTTTATCCATCATTTCATCATGGTTATACATACCATTTTCCGGTATGTTTTATAATATCTGAAATTTTACTAATTTTCTCATCTGGTTTACACCATAGTGACACACAAACACGAAATTTTAAGTCCTCGTAAAAATTTACTTGTTTTTTAGACATCATTTCATCATGGTTATACATACCATTTTCCGGTATGTTTTATAATATCTGAAATTTTACTAATTTTCTCATCTGGTTTACACCATTGTGACACACAAACACGAAATTTTAAGTCCTCGTAAAAATTTACTTGTTTTTTATCCATCATTTCATCATGGTTATACATACCATTTTCCGGTATGTTTTATAATATCTGAAATTTTACTAATTTTCTCATCTGGTTTACACCATAGTGACACACAAACACGAAATTTTAAGTCCTCGTAAAAATTTACTTGTTTTTTAGACATCATTTCATCATGGTTATACATACCATTTTCCGGTATGTTTTATAATATCTGAAATTTTACTAATTTTCTCATCTGGTTTACACCATAGTGACACACAAACACGAAATTTTAAGTCCTCGTAAAATTTACTTGTTTTTAGACATCATTTCATCATGGTTATACATACCATTTTCCGGTATGTTTTATAATATCTGAAATTTTACTAATTTTCTCATCTGGTTTACACCATAGTGACACACAAACACGAAATTTTAAGTCCTCGTAAAATTTACTTGTTTTTATCCATCATTTCATCATGGTTATACATACCATTTTCCGGTATGTTTTATAATATCTGAAATTTTACTAATTTTCTCATCTGGTTTACACCATAGTGACACACAAACACGAAATTTTAAGTCCTCGTAAAATTTACTTGTTTTTATCCATCATTTCATCATGGTTATACATACCATTTTCCGGTATGTTTTATAATATCTGAAATTTTACTAATTTTCTCATCTGGTTTACACCATAGTGACACACAAACACGAAATTTTAAGTCCTCGTAAAATTTACTTGTTTTTAGACATCATTTCATCATGGTTATACATACCATTTTCCGGTATGTTTTATAATATCTGAAATTTTACTAATTTTCTCATCTGGTTTACACCATAGTGACACACAAACACGAAATTTTAAGTCCTCGTAAAATTTACTTGTTTTTATCCATCATTTCATCATGGTTATACATACCATTTTCCGGTATGTTTTATAATATCTGAAATTTTACTAATTTTCTCATCTGGTTTACACCATTGTGACACACAAACACGAAATTTTAAGTCCTCGTAAAAATTTACTTGTTTTTTAGACATCATTTCATCATGGTTATACATACCATTTTCCGGTATGTTTTATAATCTCTGAAATTTTACTAATTTTCTCATCTGGTTTACACCATAGTGACACACAAACACGAAATTTTAAGTCCTCGTAAAATTTACTTGTTTTTTATCCATCATTTCATCATGGTTATACATACCATTTTCCGGTATGTTTTATAATATCTGAAATTTTACTAATTTTCTCATCTGGTTTACACCATTGTGACACACAAACACGAAATTTTAAGTCCTCGTAAAAATTTACTTGTTTTTTATCCATCATTTCATCATGGTTATACATACCATTTTCCGGTATGTTTTATAATATCTGAAATTTTACTAATTTTCTCATCTGGTTTACACCATAGTGACACACAAACACGAAATTTTAAGTCCTCGTAAAAATTTACTTGTTTTTTAGACATCATTTCATCATGGTTATACATACCATTTTCCGGTATGTTTTATAATATCTGAAATTTTACTAATTTTCTCATTTGGTTTACACCATAGTGACACACAAACACGAAATTTTAAGTCCTCGTAAAAATTTACTTGTTTTTAGCCATCATTTCATCATGGTTATACATACCATTTTCCGGTATGTTTTATAATATCTGAAATTTTACTAATTTTCTCATCTGGTTTACACCATAGTGACACACAAACACGAAATTTTAAGTCCTCGTAAAATTTACTTGTTTTTATCCATCATTTCATCATGGTTATACATACCATTTTCCGGTATGTTTTATAATCTCTGAAATTTTACTAATTTTCTCATCTGGTTTACACCATAGTGACACACAAACACGAAATTTTAAGTCCTCGTAAAATTTACTTGTTTTTAGACATCATTTCATCATGGTTATACATACCATTTTCCGGTATGTTTTATAATATCTGAAATTTTACTAATTTTCTCATCTGGTTTACACCATAGTGACACACAAACACGAAATTTTAAGTCCTCGTAAAATTTACTTGTTTTTAGACATCATTTCATCATGGTTATACATACCATTTTCCGGTATGTTTTATAATCTCTGAAATTTTACTAATTTTCTCATCTGGTTTACACCATAGTGACACACAAACACGAAATTTTAAGTCCTCGTAAAATTTACTTGTTTTTATCCATCATTTCATCATGGTTATACATACCATTTTCCGGTATGTTTTATAATATCTGAAATTTTACTAATTTTCTCATCTGGTTTACACCATAGTGACACACAAACACGAAATTTTAAGTCCTCGTAAAATTTACTTGTTTTTAGACATCATTTCATCATGGTTATACATACCATTTTCCGGTATGTTTTATATCTGAAATTTTACTAATTTTCTCATCTGGTTTACACCATTGTGACACACAAACACGAAATTTTAAGTCCTCGTAAAATTTACTTGTTTTTTATCCATCATTTCATCATGGTTATACATACCATTTTCCGGTATGTTTTATAATCTCTGAAATTTTACTAATTTTCTCATCTGGTTTACACCATAGTGACACACAAACACGAAATTTTAAGTCCTCGTAAAATTTACTTGTTTTTATCCATCATTTCATCATGGTTATACATACCATTTTCCGGTATGTTTTATAATATCTGAAATTTTACTAATTTTCTCATCTGGTTTACACCATAGTGACACACAAACACGAAATTTTAAGTCCTCGTAAAAATTTACTTGTTTTTTATCCATCATTTCATCATGGTTATACATACCATTTTCCGGTATGTTTTATAATATCTGAAATTTTACTAATTTTCTCACCTGGTTTACACAATGTGTCACGGAAGTTTGTCATTTCCTTTTATAAAAACACTAATATGACAGATCACACTTAAATTCTTTGACGCACAGGATAAATAAATAGCTGCATCTCGATCCGTTATAAATTACTTGGCACCGAAAACATTTGCTTTAATATTTCTGCAAGGTTTGTTAGAATTTGATTAGGTCGCTTATTTACTGAAAACTGCTTCAAATTATTGTTGAGATGTCTTCCAATATAAAAGTAAAGTAAATTCACGAGGGAAAAGTTTATTCTAAAAAGCAAGAGACCGGTAAGATTATGTGTACGTTGACAGTAAATGAATTCTCAACCAGAGTTCTATCTGAACGTCAAGTTTATTTTTGAAGAAAAAAGAGCTATCGATTTCTCAAAGTGAAGCGCACAATGTGTACAGAAAGAAAAAACGTATTGCAGACAGGGTAAAAGAATGATAAACTTTTTGTACCCTCCTTGATTAATGCAGAAAATATTGACTAAATTTGAAATGTAACAGCTATAAATCACATGCTCTATAAATATTTTTAGATTGATCTAATGTCATCGGAGAAGAGCCTCAATCCGATGGTTTTGCTATATCTTGATGGACATGGAACGGTTAAAGCTGCTGGTAATTCTTCTATCAAAAAGATTTTAGACTTGTGTAGAAGTTAAGAATTGAATTGGATTATTTTTGTGTTTAAAATACGATTGTCGGTATAGAAGTAATGTAATCAATTCATTTAAACAGGAACGCCCGGCCTTCGTCGAGAAATCTTGAATATTTCCCGAGATGCCATGTGCAAATATGTTGAAGACAATTCTTTGATTACAACTGACTCCCCAAGTACTAACTTTTATTTTGTTGTTTCTAAATTGTATAAAAAAACAAATAAAGGTGTCACAATGCTGCAATAAAGTCTGTATCATTTTATATTAGAAAGCTGTGAAGACGTTTATCAAGTGCAGGAGATACGCTCTGATCTTGTTGATCCTGATGCTTTGGAAGAAATAAAACAAGGGACTTGGTCGTGCAAAGAGCTACGGAAACTGGTTTTAAATATGGTTCTCCCAAGAACAGCTGACATCGGTAAAAACTATTTTTGTATATTTGTGAGTAACTAATTTCTGATATACAACGGCAGACCTCGTGAATTCAAGATTGGTTTTAGACAAGAAAGGAAAACGGAAGTGGAAAGTGGCTAGAGTGAGAGACTTTTGGCTTAAAGCAGAGAAACCGTTGTTTTGGCCTCCTCACATCCCATTTGTTTCGCCATCTGCCAGGATTAATCAACCTTCAGGTAAATCAAGTGAATCAATCTTCAATATTTTCATTGTTTTATTTACATATTGTACACCATTCTCAGAGGATGATTACGATGAAGAAGAATTTGATGATAAAACAGAACTCTCGAGAAAAATTTTAAATAAGAAAGAACTGATAGAGATCGCTCTATCGTATGGAGAATACGTTCATGAAGTGAGTATTATTGTTGTAGATTTAGTATATAAAGACAACTCACTGCTTCTCTTAACTTTTGTTTAATTAGTTTACTGGAAATGAAAAAAATGAAGAGACAACACAATCATTTGGTCAAGGAAGACAAGAGGTACACACTAACCATCTTTTAAGAAATAATATAAGAACATTTAAACACGAACTGCTATTTGCTTTTATTCCCAAGAAAACTAATCGAGATGCGAATGTTGGAAAAGATACGTATACAAGCGAAGAAGATAAAAGAAGTGATGAGAGCGAGAAAAGAGAAGATTTCGAAAACAAATTTGTTGATAACGAAGCTGCATTAAATAACATAAAAGAGGATGAAAGGGTAAATGAACGTCCAGGAAATTACAAAAAACAGCGTACCAAAAATGAACGTTTTTTTCTATACCCATCAGGAAGAGGATACACAATTAGTGAATTTACAACAGATGAGAGACATGTACGAAAAAGTAAGAAAACTTTTAGAAACTCACATTTATTTTTTTAAATTTCAAAACGATACCACAATCCATTTTAGAGAGAAATAGCTTGTATTGTTCGCGCAATGTTAAAAGACCCCCTAAAATATGTTGAAACAGCCTACGAATTGTTGGACTTAGCTGATACACATCAACATCCTATTACGAAAAATTTAAAGTATGAAATGCTAATGTTTATTGACTGATTGAACGGTTCTAATCTAAATGACAATTTGTTGATTCCTTAATAATATTTGAGTAGGTCACACGAAAAGACCTCATGGGCGTTCCACATGATTACGACACAAGTTGTCCTGGAGACATTTTCAACGCTTTAAGCATTGATCCCAATAGACTTCAACTCGATTCATTTCTATACGGAGTTGCACATCAATGTCATTTGGCATCCGAAGTAATATTTTGCTCTGTAAATCTCTAAGTTTTTTTATTTATAAAAGAAACACATCTTTTTCTAGCGCTCACGACAAACAAGTAAAGCAATTTCAAATGAAGAAATTATAAAAGAAATACAAGATTTCAACACTGAAGGTGAACATTCTCAAAATTCAAATCACGAAGAAAATTCTTTAATATTAAACAAATTTAGAAAACCTACATGACAAGCAAATTATTCCCTTTTTTAGAGGTTACCCTTACTAACACGCATGTTCAATGCATTGCTGGAGCACTTCGTGCGTCATTGGAAATATGGAGTCCCCAGTTTGAACTATTCCATATCTATTTTCCGTGTTTATGCCAAGTTACGGACAACGGAGGAATAGGCTACTTTAGTTTGACAGTTGGCAAAACTTTTCAAAATAGTTATGTATTTATGGAGCAAACATCTGAAAAGAGACCGACTAGAAGAAAAAGCCAGCAACTACAATCAGGTCAATAAAAATTGAATGTCTCATGTAAATGTTTCTATTGAATATGTGAAGAAAATTCCTGACGATAATAGAAAACTATATCTTTGACAGGAAAGAATGCAGTGAAGAGAGTGAAAGGTGACATTCATATATTGAAAATATTTGACAAAAAGGAAAACGACAAAGGTAGCATCAATGCCTTTTTAGAGTGAACTGTTTTGATGGCATTGTAATATACAAGAGTGATGTCGAAACATTAAATGGAAGCAAGTGGTTGTGTGATACCATAATTGACTTTTTTTTAAGGTAATGTGAAATGATTCAAATCTAACATATAGAAGGAAGCAATAAAAACTTTACAAGCTAACTTAAATTACATGAATGCAATAGGTATTACTGCAAAACGGCAGAAAGAAAAGACGATGGGGAACAATATTATGCCTTTTCTAGTTTTTTCCAACAGAAACTACTCATGAAAGGACACGTGTAAGTGTCCGGTTAAGATTTCACCCTAGATTCTAGAGATAATTACATGTTATAATATTTGCAATTTTTCAGATCAAAGCGACCATTAGATCTTTCGGGATGCAACTTACATGGAGTGAGGAGATACACACCTAAGAACATGTATCAATATAAAATGATTTTTATACCAGTCTGCGACATGTAAGAATTTTACAAAGAAAATCAGTTTCTATAGTTCAATTCTATGAGATACTTGAGACATGATATATTTTAAAGGACACATTGGTGGCTAGTGGTCTTTGAAGTTTTCACAAGTCGTTTATACGTGTTGTGCAGCATGGGTTGGAAGAATAAAACTGTTGCTTCAAACATAAGAAGGTTGTTATTTCTATACATACTGAACTAACAGGTTGCCTCTTTTGATATGTACCGACATGTTTTCTAACTTCATAAACAGCTTTTTAACGTTAAGGTATCTCCAACACATAAAGAAGAGCAACAATGGCCAGACCACATGGGAAGCATTTCAGAGCCTATTTATGCGGATGTAAGTCGAGTAATTGTTTGACAAGCATAAACACATTGATCTATAAAGTCAATGTATGGATATGTCACAAACGTTGTTATTTAATCACCATTCAGGTTGCAAGGCAAAAAAATGGTCACGATTGCGGCGTATATTTGTTAGAGTTTGCAAGAGTAATAATAAAGGAGGTATTTTGTTATGTAGACATTTGCTGTCGCAAAATACGCAAATAATTTAAAAGCAACATATTCCAGTATGTGACATATAACAGATAATTTTATCATATTTTAGGGATGCATCAACTCATCGATAGAAAATATAAACAGTGAGGGAAGACGTACGCAGCTAAAAGAGCTTCTTCAGTCCCTGTAACAGTCGACCTGTTTACACACAATGAAAAACAGGCGTTATATAAATGGTCAATGCTCGGCACATTTGTTCAATTACTTCTTCATATAAACTCTGATTGTGTCATGAGGTGCAACATTACTACTACATAGAATAATCGTGGAGTAAATATATATACTTAATAACTAATGAGTACCAGCATTATCCATTGACGTTGAAAAGCTATAATATCGTGCGAGTTATGATTTCAACATTTTAAAAATTGATTTCATTCATTTTCATATCCAAAATTTTTCATTATGCTATAAATGCGAAAAATATGAAGCTGTTTGAGGACAAAATGTTACAGCTATACGTTACGCAGACATGTCATAAATATGACGTATTTTCTTTAAAATGATGAATTTAGAAAAATATTTCAACTGTTACTTAGACTTTTTTTGTTTGTTCCAAAGTGTTAGCATTTCGTTTCAACATGGTTCCCAATTAAATAATACTGGTTTCCAAATACTACTTATCTGATAATATTGCTGATTGCAAGAAACGTTTCCCTCTCTGGAACATCCCGTCCAGGATTGCATTTTATTATGCGCAACATGTTTCTGTACCAAATATACAATTTCGAAAATAGCAAAAAGTTGTCATATTCCATGTATGAAACCATTGACGCAAGTGGCTTCATTACAGAGTTACACTGCTCTGCAGCTTGGCTGTTGTGCGTTTTTAAAATGGGATATCTATTAATATCGTATCCCTCAGAGCAACCTATAAGAGTCAAAGATATGAGTCGTTTCAATTTCGACACACTTAGCATAATAAAATACGAGTTTTATACCAGAATGGTTTCTCCAATGAAACTTGTCGACGATGAATTTGGATTTTTTAAAAAAAGCAGGATCGCGGTTAAGGCAGTACTCGTGTAGTTTGCACGCGTTGTCATAGATCACTAGTTCAGGAGCTAAACATTATAAGTTTATTTGTTTACAATTGGGAGTAACGAAACGCTAACAATTTCACAATTCTCGTAAAAGAATGAGAAATACCTCAAAAACTTCAAATTACCTTCAGAAAATCGAGTTCTTAAAATGGTAAAAGGAACATTGGGTGATTCATGATCGGGCATCACTTGAAAGCCGTAACAAATACCTAAAAAACAATAAAAAATCTCATAATTTTTCAATGAGGAGAGTTTACGGGATGAATTTTCCTGTCATTCTATGATCAAGAACATTAATGCTTCTTTGCCATACCGTGCGGACATAAAATAAGGAATATCCCAGGAATTAAAGACCCATGCTTCTTCTTTGAACGAACGCCTTTGGCACAATCATCTAAATGACCAGCTCTTTTTGTGTCAAGAACATAGTGCCCACGTTCAACAAGAGAAGGCAAAGATGGAAAAAAACCTAACTGACCATCACACTGAACTTGGGGAAGGTTGTGGGGCAAACGCTCACACCCGTTTTGGTCAGTAAAAGGACTGGACGCTTTGGCGACCATTTCCCCACACAAAACACGTATGGGGTTTGGCAGCTCTGCAAAATGATTGCAAAGACAAAACAAGAGGGGGACCTGTTCGTGCAAAAGTTGTAAATCAGACAATGGATTGTCCTTTGGATTTGCTCCGTTGGCAATTCTGATCAACAAATCCTTCACCTCTCTCACAGGAGGTACAATTGCACAAACAGGTTTATCTGACGCAAGTGCTTTGAGAAGTCTTATGCAAGGTTCTGGAAACGTGACACCAAAATGTTCCTCTCTAAGGGATACGATTAGCATTTTAGGCCAGGAGATGAAATCTAAATAAACGAGCAATAGTAAAATAGCCTGTAAAAATAGCTACAACATGTTCTTAGCATATTGTACATCAATAAACAACTAACAACATTCATACTTCCGAGGTTAATTCCACGAGTTCGTCTTCTGTAATTTGGTTCTTTATAAATTTCTTCAACAACTCTCTGCCTCTTCCGATTGAGGAAGTTCCGCGTTCGAACCTAGTGTTGGAAAAAATCCGCCCCAAAATAAAACACATGTCCAGCTAGCCAATGAAAAAATACACACCCAGAAAAAACACTTATCTTCCATCCATCGTAGGGCCTTCTGGGGAAGCTACCTTACGAGGCAAGAAGGTTTTTTGGATACCAAGTGCCGTACCGTCCATAACAACTTTTTTCGGATGTTTTCCACAGATGTTACAATGAAAAGCGTCAACAAAGTCAATGTCAAGTAATCTAAATAGCGTAAAAAATCAGTGTTGTATCCAGCAAGGATTTTTTAGATCTATGGTTAAAAACCAATTAACATAGTTATTCTTAAAAGCGGATACAATACTGCCTGTTTTTGTCAACAAAATAAATAAGAATGCCATTTGATCTATTCAGTGTTGCCACTTCATAAGGAAAGTAAAATGATAGTAAATAAATGTTCAGACTTTCTTGGACATTAAAAGTAGGATAGTGTTTTCATTTTTTGTACCTCTCTATGTACCCTTTGTTGACCATTACCTACAGGTGGGAGCACCTCTGTGCACCTACACTCCCCACCCTTATCATAAATTCACCACCAATGAAATGATCAAATGCTAAACATACGTAAGTGCTACAGATATATATATATTGGTAGCATACGTACTTTTATCATTTATATTTAGCATTACAACAAAAGTTAATTTAAACAAACGAATATCCGATCAAATAAACTTTTAAATACATGTAACTCACCTAAAAAATTGGTGCAGGTTGAAATAAAAAAAAAAGTTACCTAATCATTGCAGTAACTGCCAGACGAAACTTGGTGTAAGTTATAATGCCAGAAAAATTCAAATTTCCTGACATAACTTGTCTTTGGACGTACGTCACGTAATATTTATACATGGGCAGGCTAAACCATTTAAAAGATGAAAAGATATTTTCATGAATTCATAATTAATCATGTAGATAAAAATGTTTACTTCATACTTGATAACTGACTATCACACGTACCTTGAAACCAAAAAATGCCTTATATAATCTTTGAGGACTGCATGCGAAATGGAAAATGATCCAAACCACAAGACGTTGTTCTCGATACCATCGTACCGCTTCTTGTTTGTGCATGTAGAACACGGTCGATAATACACTAAAAATTCACAGAAGATTGTAGTCGTGACACTAATACAAAGAAAGTAATAAATAATTCAGTTTACAAACCATTCACACAGTGGAAATCATAAAGATACGCCACATGACAGCCTTCCACATCCAGCCAGTCATCTGATACATCACGCTTATCCCAAGCAGCACCACAAGAGCAAGTACCACAAGCACTAGGTACGAATATCTTTGACCAGTTCATAGCCAGAAGCTTAGCAAAATGATTGGCATCATTCTCATCACAACCTGTGTGAAAAATGAGTATTGAAAATTAAATGACGATTCCATGTTTTTGGCCACCCATTACACAAACACAATATATTATTTCCATTTACTACACTACTTTACCTATTTCAAATAATTTAACTTTTTTCACTACGAGTTGCCAACTCGTAGTAATTTCTCATTTCAGGTGAGGTTTCAAAAGCTAACTTAAAATATGCTAGCTGCGAGTCGTCATCATCTTGTACGATTTCCAGCGCCTTCCCAAGAGTTGTAACATGAATGCAGAGGTAAGATGAACAATTAGAACATCTTAGCTCTGCTTGAGGTAGTGCTACTTTAGAATAAGTAAATGTGCACACGCCCCATTCGCGATTGACTGGTTTTACAGCAATCCAGTTGGGACCACCACTAACGGCTTTAAACAAGTCCTGTAACATGAAAGGAGCTATCGTAGAACATATTATAATTTAATCAATGACTGCAAGTAAAAACCTCTTTAGGAAACATTCCACAGTATGAATGATCTATTGGGTCAGATGTTCCTGATTTTTCCACAACTTAAAAAATTAAAAAAACAAACATACCATCAATTTTATGCAAAATTACTTTTTTCACAGGTTGGCATGATATTAGCATACTGTTCTCATATAGCAAAATAACCACCATTCTGCATTATTACATGTTTCTGGATGTAGATCGTCCAGGTTAGTAGAGTCCTGAAAATGACTGTTATTGTTGGTGTTGACTGACGTTTCTACAACCTTAGCGGTAGTCATCTTCAAAAATTTTTGATCGGAACATCAACACAAACAGTCCTTCTCAGGACTTAACTACCTGGACGACCTATATCCACAAACATGTCACGACACTCCCGAGTTCAAACCATTTACTTTATTCTGCATTATGAGAACAATAACATACTCTTGAAAAAACTTGATTCTTGTGAGGTTATTCCCAAATTTTCATCATAAGTCTCCAAAAATCTTTCCATTGCCAATATATGTAAGCATTTTGGATAGCTTACAACTATTAAAAGAGTATTCCAGAAGTTAGTGCTTAAATTTACAATTAGTCATTTTTAATAATCTTGTGTATACCTTTATCTGTACTTAAATTAGTATTTGAGCTAAGGGCCTGCACAAATTCCAGTCGCAATCGATCACATGAACAGCCAAACAACCAGACAAATCCATTTACATGATAATGAGGGTACCGATGAACAAACACATATGAAGTGTGCTTAATTAAATGTAAAATATATATGAATATAACATTATAAAATACATTCACTACTAAGGAGCTCACCATAATTTTTCTTTTCTCCACATTATAGTCAAGAATAGCAAATGATTGATGTTCCCCCAAATTTGTTACTGCAGAAAATTGAAGCAATAACCCAGTATAATGCAAAACAGCTGCAATATTTTTCTAGAAAAAAACAATACATTTTGTTGGGAACTTAAATTCTTTGACTCAAGTTTAAATTGTTTCAAGAGGGAAAATAACTCCAGTCAACAAGCGGTTACAGTTTTTCTTCTAGGCAGAGAACGGAAATTACATTCATGATAAGTTTCATATGAAAACATTGTATGCCAGGGTTAGAGTGGTCAGTGTTAACACGCATAAGTGCTTCCTAGGTTGTGGTAGGGTTCTTTTCTGTGAGACCAATGCATGTTATGAGTGTGTTGTTTCTCCTAAAGTTTTACATTATCTTGGTGATTATTTGAACAAGTTTCCATTAAGGAGAAATATTTATCTTGTTGACATAGTGATTATTGAGTCATGAATAAGTTGTTATGATTGTCAATAATGTTTGATTATGAATGCTAACTGAAGTATTTAAAGATTTATTTGATATATAATATTTTATGATATGCTTATTAATTTGAGAAATGAAAACATGATTAAGGTGTTTCACTATAAACATTACTCACAATAAGCTTAGTCAACTTATAGTCACTTTTATATATTTATACATAAACATTGTGTCCTCCTCATGATTACCATATACATAGATGGTAACCCTGCACTTTGGCAGAAAGTATATTATTGCATATTATAGGTGAGAATCACATTAAATACATTATAGTAGATTGCATCAAGCATAAATCCTGAGTTAAGTTTTAAACTATTAAGATTTCATCTTATCTGTGCTACTTTATTTCATATTGCTCTGAGCACTATATTTGTATCTGCAAGTTGCACTTACTTCATCAGGTTGAGATTTGTCGACATCAACGGTAATAGTTTCATCAATATTCTGGGAAATCTAAAGAGTTTACAATATTACTTTGGCTTTCTGACAAGCATAAAGAATTTACTGTATTACTTTACAGAAACCTGAATAATTCAACTAAAAACTAACCAGATGCAACGGTTGTTCAAGAGTGATGTTTGACTCAACACATTCTTCTAACAATGGATGATCATCATGCATTTCCTAAGAGAAAGTTTGCAATGCTCCATATATGATAAGTAACATATTTAATTTTTCATTTCACCTAAGGTTCACAACTTTAATGCAACACATCCCACACAGATATTTCAGACTTCATAATTTTGAGATACTTAGAGACTAACCACATTACATTCCACTTCGTAGTCTTCGTTTGATTTAGATTGACTGCTATGAGGGGCCATCTATTTTGTGATGAAACAATGTATTATAAGTTGTCAACTAAAACATATTTCACACAGATGTTTACTACCACTAAACAATTAACTTGCAATAGGAAGAAAATGTATCTGTTCGGCGCTGCTGGTGGGCTTACAACAATCAAGCTTAAATGCAACATATTTCCTTCTTACCTTTCTGTACAAGCTTTCGTTGGACATGCCAAAATTTTATAAGCAACATAATTGTACTAATATGTACAGAGACCTTGTAAGAGAGCAAAGTAGGAACTCCAAAATAGTTCACAAATTCCAAAGTCAACTATCAACTCTTGCACATTAGTGAATATGTTAAAATATTTAAACCAAAGAGGGCTATCTATATGTACTTGAAACAATGTATACCACCACAATTATCATCCGTAGATAACTCCCCTAGAAATGCAAGTGAATGAATGGCTTTAATAATTTCACAATCATAAGCATTATGTAATACGAAAAGAATATAGATAATTATATTGTCTAAAATATATCCAAAATCTGGAGGTGGCACAAAAAATAAATGATAGAAAATCATCGACAAAGTCGGATGACACGAATGCGCGTAATATAATCTTATATAATTAACTTCCTATATCCATGTAATCTTTCAAACAAAGGCCTATAAATAAAAACTACACGGTAGAATTTTTTAAACTTGGCCAGAATATAGATAATTATATTGTCTAAAATATATCCAAAATCTGGAGGTGGCAAAAAATAAATGATAGAAAATCATCGATAAAGTCGGATGACACGAATGCGCGTAATATAATCTTATATATTTAAGTTAAGAATTCCGGTTCTTTAACAAACAAAGCCTTATAAATAAAAACTACACGGTAGAAATTTTTAAACTTGGCCATATTGTAGATATTCTTATTGTCTATAATATATCCAAAATCTGGAGGTGGCACAAAATAAAAGAAATAATATTCCTTGAGAATGTACTCTGATATAAACCGTGAAGTTGGCACCACATTCGACAAACAGCTCTATAGCTAAAACTACACGGTAGAATTTTTAAACTTGGCCAGAATATAGATAATTATATTGTCTAAAATATATCCAAAATCTGGAGGTGGCACAAAAATAAATGATAGAAAATCATCGACAAAGTCGGATGACACGAATGCGCGTAATATAATCTTATATAATTAACTTCCTATATCCATGTAATCTTTCAAACAAAGGCCTATAAATAAAAAACTACACGGTAGAATTTTTTTAAACTTGGCCAGAATATAGATAATTATATTGTCTAAAATATATCCAAAATCTGGAGGTGGCACAAAAAAATAAATGATAGAAAATCATCGATAAAGTCGGATGACACGAATGCGCGTAATATAATCTTATATATTTAAGTTAAGAATTCCGGTTCTTTAACAAACAAAGCCTTATAAATAAAAAACTACACGGTAGAAATTTTTTAAACTTGGCCATATTGTAGATATTCTTATTGTCTATAATATATCCAAAATCTGGAGGTGGCACAAAAATAAAAGAAATAATATTCCTTGAGAATGTACTCTGGTATAAACCGTGAAGTTGGCACCACATTCGACAAACAGCTCTATAGCTAAAAAACTACACGGTAGAATTTTTTTAAACTTGGCCAGAATATAGATAATTATATTGTCTAAAATATATCCAAAATCTGGAGGTGGCACAAAAAAATAAATGATAGAAAATCATCGACAAAGTCGGATGACACGAATGCGCGTAATATAATCTTATATAATTAACTTCCTATATCCATGTAATTTTTCAAACAAAGGCCTATAAATAAAAACAACACGGTAGAAATTTTTTAAACTTGGCCAGAATATAGATAATTATATTATCTAAAATATATCCAAAATCTGGAGGTGGCACAAAAAAATAAGTTGTAGAAAATCATCGGCAAAGTCGGATGACACGAATACGCGTAATATAATATTTAATAATTAACTTCCTATGTCCAGGTAACTTTACAAACAAAGGCCTATAAATAAAAAACTACACGGTAGAATTTTTTTAAACTTGGCCATATTGTAGATATTTTTATTGTCTATAACATATCCAAAATCTGGAGAGTGCACAAAAAAATAAGTTGTAGAAAATCATCGGCAAAGTCGGATGACACGAATACGCGTAATATAATATTATATAATTAACTTCCTATATCAAGGTATCTTTGCAAACAAAGGCCTGTAAATAAAAAACTACACGGTAGAATTTTTTTAAACTTGGCCATATTGTAGATATTTTTATTGTCTATAACATATCCAAAATCTGGAGAGTGCACAAAAAAATAAAAGGAATAGTATTCCTTTAGAATAAACCGTGAAGTTGGCACCACATTCGACAAACAGCTCTATAGCTAAAAAACTACACGGTAGAATTTTTTTAAACTTGGCCATATTGTAGATATTCTTATTGTCTATGACATATCCAAAATCTGGAGGTGGCACAAAAAAATAAATGATAGAAAATCATCGACAAAGTCGGATGACACGAATGCATGTAATATGATCTTATATAATTACGTTTAGAATTCCGGTTCTAAAACAAACAAAGCCTTATAAATAAAAAACTACACGGTAGAATTTTTAAACTTGGCCAGAATATAGATAATTATATTGTCTAAAATATATCCAAAATCTGGAGGTGGCACAAAAATAAATGATAGAAAATCATCGACAAAGTCGGATGACACGAATACGCGTAATATAATCTTATATAATTAACTTCCTATATCCATGTAATCTTTCAAACAAAGGCCTATAAATAAAAACTACACGGTAGAATTTTTAAACTTGGCCAGAATATAGATAATTATATTGTCTAAAATATATCCAAAATCTGGAGGTGGCACAAAAAAATAAATGATAGAAAATCATCGATAAAGTCGGATGACACGAATGCGCGTAATATAATCTTATATATTTAAGTTAAGAATTCCGGTTCTTTAACAAATAAAGCCTTATAAATAAAAAACTACACGGTAGAAATTTTTTAAACTTGGCCATATTGTAGATATTCTTATTGTCTATAATATATCCAAAATCTGGAGGTGGCACAAAAATAAAAGAAATAATATTCCTTGAGAATGTACTCTGGTATAAACCGTGAAGTTGGCACCACATTCGACAAACAGCTCTATAGCTAAAAACTACAAGGTAGAATTTTTTAAACTTGGCCAGAATATAGATAATTATATTGTCTAAAATATATCCAAAATCTGGAGGTGGCACAAAAATAAATGATAGAAAATCATCGACAAAGTCGGATGACACGAATGCGCGTAATATAATCTTATATAATTAACTTCCTATATCCATGTAATTTTTCAAACAAAGGCCTATAAATAAAAACAACACGGTAGAAATTTTTAAACTTGGCCAGAATATAGATAATTATATTATCTAAAATATATCAAAATCTGGAGGTGGCACAAAAATAAGTTGTAGAAAATCATCGGCAAAGTCGGATGACACGAATACGCGTAATATAATATTTAATAATTAACTTCCTATGTCCAGGTAACTTTACAAACAAAGGCCTATAAATAAAAAACTACACGGTAGAATTTTTTTAAACTTGGCCAGAATATAGATAATTATATTGTCTAAAATATATCCAAAATCTGGAGGTGGCACAAAAATAAATGATAGAAAATCATCGACAAAGTCGGATGACACGAATGCGCGTAATATAATCTTATATAATTAACTTCCTATATCCATGTAATTTTTCAAAGAAAGGCCTATAAATAAAAACTACACGGTAGAATTTTTAAACTTGGCCAGAATATAGATAATTATATTGTCTAAAATATATCAAAATCTGGAGGTGGCACAAAAATAAATGATAGAAAATCATCGATAAAGTCGGATGACACGAATGCGCGTAATATAATCTTATATATTTAAGTTAAAATTCCAGTTCTTTAACAAACAAAGCCTTATAAATAAAAACTACACGGTAGAAATTTTTAAACTTGGCCATATTGTAGATATTCTTATTGTCTATGACATATCCAAAATCTGGAGGTGGCACAAAAATAAATGATAGAAAATCATCGACAAAGTCGGATGACACGAATGCATGTAATATGATCTTATATAATTACGTTTAGAATTCGGTTCTAAAACAAACAAAGCCTTATAAATAAAAACTACACGGTAGAATTTTTTAAACTTGGCCAGAATATAGATAATTATATTGTCTAAAATATATCCAAAATCTGGAGGTGGCACAAAAATAAATGATAGAAAATCATCGATAAAGTCGGATGACACGAATGCGCGTAATATAATCTTATATATTTAAGTTAAGAATTCCGGTTCTTTAACAAACAAAGCCTTATAAATAAAAAACTACACGGTAGAAATTTTTTAAACTTGGCCATATTGTAGATATTCTTATTGTCTATAATATATCCAAAATCTGGAGGTGGCACAAAAAATAAAAGAAATAATATTCCTTGAGAATGTACTCTGGTATAAACCGTGAAGTTGGCACCACATTCGACAAACAGCTCTATAGCTAAAAACTACAAGGTAGAATTTTTTAAACTTGGCCAGAATATAGATAATTATATTGTCTAAAATATATCCAAAATCTGGAGGTGGCACAAAATAAATGATAGAAAATCATCGACAAAGTCGGATGACACGAATGCGCGTAATATAATCTTATATAATTAACTTCCTATATCCATGTAATTTTTCAAAGAAAGGCCTATAAATAAAAAACTACACGGTAGAATTTTTTTAAACTTGGCCAGAATATAGATAATTATATTGTCTAAAATATATCCAAAATCTGGAGGTGGCACAAAAAAATAAATGATAGAAAATCATCGATAAAGTCGGATGACACGAATGCGCGTAATATAATCTTATATATTTAAGTTAAGAATTCCAGTTCTTTAACAAACAAAGCCTTATAAATAAAAACTACACGGTAGAAATTTTTAAACTTGGCCATATTTTAGATATTCTTATTGTCTATGACATATCCAAAATCTGGAGGTGGCACAAAAAAATAAATGATAGAAAATCATCGACAAAGTCGGATGACACGAATGCATGTAATATGATCTTATATAATTACGTTTAGAATTCGGTTCTAAAACAAACAAAGCCTTATAAATAAAAACTACACGGTAGAATTTTTTAAACTTGGCCAGAATATAGATAATTATATTGTCTAAAATATATCCAA